AAGTTTTTGGATCAGGTCCATTCCCAAGGAACTATAAGCCCTACCCTGACCAAACTTGCATGGATGATGCATCTAGGGGTGGACACTACCAGACTTGCTTCGGATGCTGGATGTGACCTACATTTTCCATTTGAGTGACCAGGTTAAAGTTTTTGGAGCAGGTCCATTCCCAAGGAACTATAAGCCCTACCCAGACCAAACTTGCATGGATGATGCATCTAGGGATGGACACTACCAGACTTGCTTCGGATGCTGGATGTGACCTACATTTTCCATTTGAGTGACCAGGTTAAAGTTTTAGGAGCAGGTCCATTCCCAAGGAACTATAAGCCCTACCCAGACCAAACTTGCATGGATGATGCATCTAGGGATGGACACTACCAGACTTGCTTCGGATGCTGGATCTGACCTACATTTTCATTTCAGTAAATATAAGACCTACTCAGACCAAACTTGCATAGATGATGCATGTAGGGATGGACACTACAAGACTTGCTTCGGATGCTGGATCTGACCTACATATTCATTCCCAAGTAACTATAAGACCTACCCGAACTAAACTTGCATGGATGATGCATCTAGGGATGGACACTACAAGACTTGCTTCAGATGCTGGATGTGACCTACATTTTCATTCCCAAGTAACTATTTAAATTTTTTATGACCTACCCAAACCAAGCTTGCATGGATGATGCATTTTTGGGATGTGACACTACAAGACTTGCTTTGGATGTGGATCTGACCAACATATTCATTCCCAAACTGACTATCAATATTGTACATTAATACTATTTATCTTAAAATTTATTGTATAAAACACAGTTGAGTTGTTCATTTAATGACATTTGATGCTTTTAAATTATCAATACATTTTCTTTTTCCAAAATTAGCTAAATATCAAACAATCAGTGGGAATCCAAACTTGCATGGATGATGCATTCTAGGGATGGACACTACAAGACTTGCTTTAATGATGCTGGGAAATCAAATGAGAAATGTTCTTGTTGCATGGACAGTTATCACTGTGAAGAGCTTGGCCCAAAATCTGTAAAATCAATAGAAGATCTGCTCTCTTGAGATTCCAGCATAATGCAGGTTTACTGTGCTTTGGATGCTGGATCTGACCTACATTTATTGAATCCAGCAAATAAAACAATACCGTGGACTACATTAAAAAAAACTTGCATGGATGATGCACCTAGTTGGATTAAAAAGAAGACTTCAGACTTGCTTTGTATGCTGAATCTAGACCTATATTTTCCATACAAGGTTAGACCTAATTAAAGTTCTGGAGACATAAACATGATAACTGTTTACAATAAACTTGAAGTCCTTTTTCTATCTGCAATATAGGCAACAAATTTATTTAAATATTTGTTTACACTATACATGTTTTTCATGCTATAGCGTGCATAGAAATGTGTATATGCCATGTAAAATTCTTAAAAACAAATAGCAAACTGAATTTGTTGTTGGGATAAATTTGCATCTTTTATACATTTCAAGAAAAATTTGATAAATTGAGATTTATTTTCTTTTAGCATTAGTATATAAAATTCAATTCATAATAAAACCTTAGTTATCGAAGGTTATGTTTTGAAATCTTTGATTACCATATGTTTGGTTAATACATGAACAAAATATGCAAATTGCGTATGAGAACATAGAGGGAACATATACTAATTAAAATATAGCCCATGGGTCTCATTTTGTTTCTACTAACTCATTGACATTTCCTTCATGATTGTAGATTTGAATCAATGTGTGAGACCTTGGGGAAAAACTATCCAATTAATTTTTAATTTTGTGAAATTTTGAAACTGACTATCAAGTTATTGTACATTAATACTATTTATCTTTAAAGTTTATTGTATAAAACACAGCTGAGTTGTTCATTTAATGACATTTGATGCTCTTAAATTATCAATACATTGAATATCTTTTTCTGGACAAAATTAGAATTAAATATCAAACAATCAGTGAGAGAATTTATATGGTGTCCAAGACATTTGTTTATTCAGGTTTATTTCTGAAACCTCTCTTTTTATTCTTCTTCACATAATGATTCAGCATATTTTAAGTCAAATGAGAAATGTTCTTGTTGCATGGACAGTTATCACTGTGAAGAGCTTGGCCCAAAATCTGTAAAATCAATAGAAGATCTGCTCTCTAGAGATTCCAGCATAATGCAGGTTTACTGTAAGGCTATTTAATATGTACAACCCTAACACTCGGCAATCATCAATTATTGAATCCAGCAAATAAAACAATACCCTGGACTACATTAAAAAATGCAGTCTACAGCCAAGTTGTTAAAAATTAAAAAGAAGGAGTTCTAATGACCATAAGATGCAGTTTCTTATAATATAGTCCATAGTATTGTTTTATTTGCTGAGTAAGGTTAATTAACGTAAGACCTAATTCATACTTCTGGAGACATAAACTTGATAACAGTTTACAAAACCTGACCAAACTGTAAACTTTTTCTAATCTGAACAATATTATAGGCAGAACAACATTGGATAGGTACTTTTCATGAATATGCATTCAGCAGTTGGATGAAAATTGCTGTTGAACTCATCACTGTTTGCTGATGATATAGAAAGTTACAAACAATATTCCCTTAAGATCTGATGCAACAGATATTATCTGTTAACTTTTAACCTCTACACAAATAGTTAATACCAGCATCACTGAGAGGCAGCCCTGTGTAGGCCAAGCTAGATGTGAATTTATTCAGGTTTACACATGTATTTCTGATTTTTCTATGCATCTTCTATGCATCTTTTATGAGTGTCTGACACATTAACTCAATTCAGTTATATTTTAATAATTAAATCAGTAAACCAGTATTTTTGAGCCTATCCTATTAGCACATTGAAAATGCTTCACAGAGATTGATCTTTTGTGAAATGCAAATGATTTTAAAATTGAATATACTTATAGATTTTGTTGCAACGAATATTGTTATGTGGCATTATAAAACTACATCTCTTAACTGAAGATCTTTCTTATAAATTATTAAAAATTAAACTTTCCATGCCTGCACGTCACTGACATCAGATATAAGAAATATTTTGCACAAAGATCTTATTTGGCTCATCTTTAAGGGACAGACAATGTCAATTATAAATTTCTTATTTTCTCTCATTCAAAAGTTGGTCAGTTATATTAAAATTTTTGAAAATGAAAATCAAATTTAATGTCATGGGGTTAAAAATCACAGTGCATTTGGAAACATCTTGTTACAGGTAAGGCACATAATGAATGTCCTCTTCTCTCTTCAAAAGTTATCAGCAGTGATGATTTTTTGAAAATTAGGTCAAACTTGAAGGTCAAGGGCACTAGTCAAAATATCAGCACATTCAAAAATATCTTGTCACAGATAATATACTTCTTAGATATGAAGTGGTATCTTCTCTCATTTAGGTATTGCCAATGTTTAAATTTTGGAAAATTTGGGTCAAACTTCAAAGTCAAGGTCACAAGGTCAAACATATCATATTGAAAAGGCTTTGTCAAAGGTAATGCACATATGAAATATGAGAGACCTCTCTCTTCCAGTGATTCAAAAGATATAAGCAAATTAAACATTTTTGAAAATCATTTTTAAGATTAAGCAGTCTATGCAAAAGTTTTTTGGGCCACACAGGACATTCGCTCCTGTGTAATCAATGAACATACAGGACCAAACCAAATTCTGTCAGACCAAGAAACAGCTTTTCTTTTACCAAGGCTCCCTCCAGCATAATACTTAAGCGGTCAATCATGATCATGGACTCCATGTGGTTTAAATCACATTTATTTACATATTTGGATTTGTGCAAATTTTTTTACTTATAGTACAAGCATTTAAATGACTCGGTGTCAAAGTAGTAAAGCTCAAAACTAGACACTGAGACATCGGACATTCTGGTCCAGTGTAAAAAATGATGCATTGGACTGGAGGCACGGCACATTGGTCAGGTCCGACGGTCCGATGTCTTTCGCATAGACTGATTAGTCAGCCTTCAAGATGAGGGTCACAGAAGTTTTACTTTAAATGTATTTGGGAAGATCTAGCTTGTCACAGATAATGGACAAATCAATTATGAATGTCCTGTCTTCATTCAAAATTATTATCAATATTTAAGTTTTTGAAAATCAGGTCAAGCTTCAAGGTCAAGGTCACAGGATGAAAAATCTGAAGATGTTTGGAAAGTCTTTTCACAGGTAATGTAGGAGTGAAATATGAAACCCTTATCTCTTCTTAAGGTCATGCGGTCAAAAGTCATAATAGTTATGCAGTCAAAAGTCATGAACAAGGTAAGTTTTTGTCAGACTGCAACAGATAGACATATTAATGAGATTTTATGTTCTCTCACTTTCACGGAAGCAGGGGCAAAAATTCAAAACTGTGTACACATAAATACTGTTTAATTAGTTGTTACTGTAGTTGTTATTTCCCTGATTTTTCAAAGAAAAAATTAGTTGGTTTTATCATCTATCTATAAGCCAGTCAATAGATTCCAGAATAATTGCCTAAAGGTATATTTCCAATTACTATGTTTTTCCAGATATAGTTCATAGTAAGCTCCTTATTAATTTCAAATATAGTTCATAGTAAGCTCCTTATTAATTTCAAATATAGGCACAGTATGGAATTGGTTGTGGATAAAGCTGCTCATAAAGTGCACTTCCAGTCCACATCCGAGTTGGACTAATTGCTGCAGCTGGACTCCTGTTGGAGAGAACTTAGATAGATTAGGTAGATTGACTGAGTGCTTTCCTGATTGATTTGTCCAGCGACATAATTTTACATTGTCATTTCTTCCTTTTCTAATCATTCCAGATTAGAGAATTGTGAGGTTTACTAAAGATGGCAATGCTGTGTATTTTTTCTCTTCAAGAGAAATTACAACTTTTCAATCTATACACCTCAGCATAGACTGATTGAAAAGCTGAATGAATATTTGACAGTTCATATTTATTAAAATCTGTGTTATTTGTACATTTTACAGAATGGTGATGGTTGAACCAGAGTGACCCGGATTGACCTGGTTGCATTACAAGAGTGTCCAGAAGGAAGTCAAAATGAAAATGTTTATACCTGTATGTGAACAGTTACAAGAATCAGGTCATTCTCAGGTAAATTTTATTTCAGAATGGGTCAGTATTTTGTTAATTTTTAGTCAAATGGTGAATTATATTCGAATTTATTGGGAAAATGACCCATGAAAGTGCAACTTCAGAATGAAAGGAAGGTGCATCTTTCTTACTGTACAGTAGTTTACTCCATATGTGCTTAAAAATTTGAGAAAGATACTTATGTATTCATGTTTATAATTAAAAAGATATCAGGGGAAGTCTCATAGAACTAAGTTCTTAACAATGTATCATATAATGTTACATATATTCCTGTATATGCATATTTTCATACCCCTCCAAATGAAGTTTTGGAGCATATAGGAATTGTTTGTCCATTCTTCTGCCTATGTATGCAATCTTGTCAAGGCTGTCACTTTGTAATGGAAATTCAATGGAAACTCATACTTTTTACATAGGTTATTGAGGACCTGAGGGTATGTCATGACCTTAACCCAAAGTCATTTTGACAAGTTCAAGGTCACTGACAGAAAAAGTATTAAGTTCCTGTCTAGGATATAACGTTGTTGTAGAGAATTAGTGATAGCTACTACAAAGTACTGTATATACTTGCCTATAAGTGGGTCCACCTATAAGTCAGTTGTATTTTTCGCGGTTACTTTGGAGGGATTTGCCATTAACCCCCATATAAGTCGGTACAACTTTTTGCTAGAATTGTTTGACATTTTTCATTCTCGACTTTGTCGAGGTGAGCTTATGCTGTACCCCCGGTGTCGGCGTAAGTGTCTGCATCCCGGTTAAAGTTTTAGGAGCAGGTCCATTCCCAAGTAACTATACATCCTAACTGGACCAAACTTGCATGGGTGATGCATCTAGGAATGGACACTACCAGACTTGCTTCGGATGCTGGATTTGACCTACGTTTTTCCAGATGATTGACCAGGTTAAAGTTTTAGGAGCAGGTCCATTCCCAAGTAACTATACATCCTAACTGGACCAAACTTGCATGGGTGATGCATCTAGGAATGGACACTACCAGACTTGCTTCGGATGCTGGATTCGACATACGTTTTTCCAGATGAGTGACCAGGTTAAAGTTTTAGGAGCAGGTCCATTCCCAAGTAACTACTGTATACAGGGAAATTTTCGCCCCCGTTTTATTTTCGCCCCTTTCGCCCACTTCTTGATTGGGCGAATTTAAAACGGGGCGAATTCAAATTACACAATATAATTTCTTAAACAGAACTAAGACAGGGCGAATTTAATACGGGGCAAAATTGTTTGCGAGTTCAAAAGGGCGGAAATAACACGGGGCGAAAATAACCCTGTATACAGTATAAGCCCTACCAGGACCAAACTTGCATGGAGGATGCATCTAGGGATGGACACTACCAGACTTCAAGTTCATGGTAAAAGTGGCCAGAAAAAAACCCAATAGTAATGTGTATTTCATAAAATATTATGTCTTGGAGGTGTACATGTCTTGATCAAGAACAGTGAACTAAAGACGAGGCAAGTTCAAGGCCATTTGCAAAAATTTTAAACAAAAATTGTTTTTGAGTTAAAGTACGTTACAACCTTAAGAGGAGGTTATTTTGTGGCAAGTTCAAGGTCACTATCAGAAAAAAAAATGATATTAATATCAGGTATGTTTGTTATTTTCTAATGAAAGAATATAGGATTTTCCATATGTTCACTCAAATATTGCTTGTGATAGGGGGATGTTTCTCTTTTTTCAACCTTTTTTCTCGCAAGTTCAAGGTCACATTCACAAAGATGCTAAGGGCACTTAAAAAACATATGGCTTAGATGTGAGCCTGCTCCTAGTTCCTATTATTTTGTTTTTTATGTATTTTAAATTGGATTAGGAAGAACAAAATTTTGTCAAATATATTTGACACAATAGTATAATCCAAATTAAAAATCAAATGAGATGATTAATTGATATCAAATTTACTCTGAAGTAGAAATTAGTAAATCGTATTTATGTATTTTTAAACAAAAATGCTTTTAATTAAAGCACTGAGGATTTATTTTATTAATAGCACTATAGCTTAAAAGGTGTGTTTCATAATGTAACTTTTACGTTACTTATACCTTAGAAGTAAGCAGGTTATAATCTATAAAGTTATTTATCAGAATTGTTCTTTTTCCAATGACATAAAGTCATTATACACATATTGATATTAATTATGTACTTTTATTTAAATAATCTGCACAGTTAAAAGTCTTCATGGTTAAGCGGTTTTGCAATTCAGGGAGTTCTTATTATTGAACTCCAGAACAGCCATTGCTAAATACAAAAGCAAAACATAAAACCTTGAAACATGGTGACTTCCTCATGTCAAATCAAATACTTTAAATTGGCTGGACTTTTTCTCTAAGTGCTGAGTGATTGATTCTAAATCATAGTCATTGAGTTCAGTGATCAGAATTTTTCACAAAAATGTAAGGATATTTGATACATACATTTTCTTCATAAAATCTATTAAGGTAAGAATTTTTTCATAGGGTATTTTGTTGAATGTATATTCAGGGTGGAGATAGGGGATCGTTTTACGAACAGTTTAAATAATAAATTGAAAAAAATGTCAGTATTGAAATTATAACTCCAGTTGGATACAGCAAAATTCCCAGTTTTCATAATGACGTGCAAGTTCTTACATTGTCCTGGATATTTTGGACTATTAATAACAGATGATCTGAATTAAATTTGCATTAGATTAGCTGCAGATCTGTAGCTCTCCGAAAAAAATATTTTGATAGACCGGAGAGCTACAGTGCCACCCACTGAAAAAACTGAATATTTATTGCGCTCAGTTCTTGATTAATTCTTCCAAATTCTTATCTCAATTGCAAAAAAGGGACGATTTCAAAAAATTCCTTTCTCCTCTATCAAGTACTCTCGTAGTTGACATCTGAACGAAGCATATTGGACCGAATTATCTTTGAAACCAAAATGGCAGTATAAATAAGCGAAATGTTCTATGATTACAATATCAGGGTCATGAGTATATTAACAACATTTATGAGGAATGTTTGGTTGTGGAAACAGCGAAAGAATATATTAAGAACATACGGTTAGTAATATTTTGAGATCACATTTTGAAAACATGGAGAAATAAATCGAGAACCGAGCGCACTTTTTTGTGCGCAATAAATATACAGTTTTTTCAATGGGTGGCTCTATAGCTCTCCGGTCTATCAATATATTTTTTTCGGAGAGTTACAGATCTGCAGCTAGCATTAGATATTCTTAGATACTAGAGACTAAAAATGCACCCATTATTGCCAAATCTATTTCTTTTCATATATGTTTTAAGGTGCTATAGTGCCCAGTAGTCATGCACCATTTTGTATAAATCATGCAAACCTTACTTTATTAAATATTGTGCCTTGATAATGATTTAATGCAATATCACTTATAAAATAAACCATAACCTAGTAAGTCAAAATATTACCTGGTAGGTAAAATAACCATAAATTTTTAATTTTTAACTGCTAAAAGAAACTTTCTTTGGTGCAGAGCTTGAGGACAGATCCCAGGTAACCAATAGCTAAATCCAAATTCCTGTCTTTGAATTTTGAGCATTTTTTAACAATTTTTTTCTGAAATGGCTGAGCAGAATTTAACAAGTTTTTGCATGTAGAAGAATTAAAGGAACAAATTTTGTGAATTTACTATTCAAAGTCTGAGGGATGGGACCAATCAATCATTTATTTGAATATCTCCACCATTTTACAATAGTATACAGAGATACAAAAACATATAGGTGATTTTATATATAGCAGTATGTCTAAAAGGCATGCATGAATAAGAATAAGAACAAATAAAAACTGTAAATGTGAAGTATGGGAATTAAGGCCGGGAACATTTTTAATTTATTTTCTTTATTAAGGAGCACAATTTTAGCAGTGTTTTATATTGTCATTCATAATGTTTTTGAAACTAATTATATTCTGAAATTTTATGTGTTTTTCTGTTAAGCATAGCGTTCTTTCTGTTTGTAGCGAGCTGCACTGTAGTATGTAATGAAACTCATCTCCGAGCTCTTTTAGATAACAGAACCAAAACAACCAAAATTTATGCAGTGTCCAAAAACTGTGTTCCATATTTTTGGAAATTAATTTTAATTAGCAAATGAGCTATTTGCTACATGTAAACATTAGCAGCTACCCTGTACAGATTTGTGAAACTCATTACTCCAAGATTTAGTGACTCTAGGATGGGTTAATATGTCATATATATTGAAAATATAGTATTGCAACACAGAAATCCGTTTGTCTGTGTTAAATGACCTAAGCTATAATTAGTTTAGTATAATAATAATGAAACAGTCCCTTGGGTTCAGGCCAGCAGTGGAAAAAAATTGGTAAAATATGTGTTTATGTATTATACAATAAAATTACTGGGTATTTGTAATACACATGTACAATTATATTTTGTGTTTATATTAATGAAAATTTATAATTGATAAGTGTATACCATTCCTAAACCATAAGCAAGAAAGCTTTCCAAGCAAGCATGATGGATTTTCTACTTTAATATCATATATGCATGAGTTCCTAATTAAATTTTTGTCCCCAGGAATGGGGTAAAGTAAGGGCAAGATAGATCATACATGTTTAAAATGCATTTATTTATATCTTTAACTGTTTTCATTATAAATATTACCACATATCTAGGAAGTTAAACTATTAAATACAATGTTTCATACAGTATCAATTTTAACAAAATTGTGAGAAACTTGGCATATGGAGACCAAAGTTCCTTTCCCACATAGAGCTAGATTGTTCATATAGCCTGTAAAAAAACCCTGTCAATTCTTAGAACTCATCACAGCTCATATGAGCCCCCTTTTTTAAGGAAAACATTTGAGTTGATTCAATATCTTCTATTTTATTGTTATACAATGTTTATCTTTAGTCTGAGCTGAATCAATTGACAGAGCTCTTTTATTTTTTATAGTAGGAATTTCATACTACGTACATTTAAAAATTTTACAGGGATTTCCCCTCAAGATTTACCATGTCGGATAAAAAGAAATTTGATAGGAATTTTGGACACTCTCTATTTTACTGATTTTCAAAGGAATAAGTTTAAATATAATGTTCCTGAACCAATCCTGCTTTATTGAAATTAAGCTGATGTAAAAATGTAATACCTTTAGGTTTACACAACTGTGCAGACTGTGTATTTATATAATAAATAATATGAACATAAGTCAAACATATTTTGTGTGGTGGGTCTATAATGAGGTACCTACAAAAATATGAGGGGGGTAAAGAATATATGGAACATAAATTATTAAGGGCTTTATCGATATATCGATACATATCGATATTCATGACAAGAAAAATATCATATCAAGAAATAACTTCCAATACGTATCGGACAAACAGTTTTTCTTCTAATTCTGTTAAAAAGATGGGAATTTCAATCACCAAAGATTATATTTCATTTTTTAAAAATAAAGGATGATTTAAGGATAGAGGATAATAAAATAAAGGATATAAATTTGTAAGGAAATAAAACAGTTTTTTTCGCTCTACTGGTCAGAGACCAGAAGAGCTTATGCGATGGTAATGCGTCCTGCGTCCGTCCGTCTGTTCGTCTGTTCGTCTGTCTGTAAACAATTTTTCAAAATGCTACTCCTCCTACAGTTTTGGTCTGATTTCAGTATAACTTGGCACACAAGTAGACTACACTAAGATACATAATTCTGTGAATCGGTTTTTGATTTAGATGAAAGGTGTTGCGGTTGTTACTAAAAATAGAAATTTCTGTGAAATTCTTTAAAAATGCTAGGTCTCCTAAAGTTTTGATCTGATTTCAGTATAACTTGGCAAACAAGTAGACTACACTAAGATACATAATTCTGTATATCGGTTTTTAATTTAGTTGAAAGATGTTGTGGTTGTTACTAAAAATAGAAATTTCTGTGAAATTCTTTCAAAATGCTAGGTCTCCTACAGTTTTGGTCTGATTTCAGTATAACTTGGCAAACAAGTAGTCTACACCAAGATACATACCGTATAATCCCTATTTACCGCCCCGGGCACTTAGAAATTGCAAAAGGGGGGCGATTATTTTAGTATTCTATTTTTAATATTTAATGTCATATTTTAACTTCCAAAAAATCTTTGAAAAAATTTTAATTGAAGATAATCCATCAAAATTAAGCTAAATGATTGATTTTCCATCTAGAAATTGGATTATAGACAAGTTTCATTTTCACTTTCTTCAAATTTAGGCAGACTTTTGATATGATTGTAGATGATTTCAATCACTGTACAGGGGGCCCTTATTTCCTGAAAATTAAAAAAGACCTAAGGGGGCGCTTATAGGGGCAGGGGTGGTATATAGGGATTATACAGTAATTCTATATTGGTTTTTGATTTCGATGAACAGTGTTGCCGTGGTTACTAAAAATAGAAATTTCTGTGAAATTCTTTAAAAATGCTACTCCTCCTACAGTTTTGATCTGATTTCAATATAACTTGGCACACAAGTAGATTACACTAAGATACATAATTCTCTTTATCAGTTTTTGATTTTGATGAATGGTGTTGCCGTAAAAATGTTACTTAAAATAGAAATTTCTGTGAAATTCTTTTAAAATGCTACATCTACTACAGGTTTTGATCTGATTTCAATTTAACTTGGTACACAAGTAGACTACTCTAAGGTACATAATTCTGTGTATCGGTTTTTGATTTAGATGAATGGTGTTGCCGTAATTACTAAAAATACAAAAAGTACAAACCAGTAGAGCTTTAGTCTCGACAGAGACTTCTGGTTTTAGAATTATTACAAAATACAAAGAAAATTTTATTTGAACATGTTGATTTTGCTGTCATTAAAAGTTTTAATTTGAAGTGTTATATTTGTAATGAAAATGAGACAAGAACTTTAAAATGGGTAATAAAACACTTAATTGTTATGAAATTTATGCATTAAAAGGATTTAAAGCCTTTTCTGATGGATTTGTTTTAGAATCCAATATATCGCATATTGCTTTAAAAAATATTGTATGGTATTGTATCGAAATTTTTGGCTCAATACACAGTCGGAGTCCTAAACATAAACATATACCGTAATACAGAATTGTAACCTGAAGGCCAATATTTCTTTTTTCCTCTAAGTGAATATTTCTTACAGAAAAGGGGCGGGCCCCTAGTAATGCATTATATATGTAACTTCAATTGTCCTACACAATGTTCTGTGTACATATTCCAGCACTCTTACAGAAGCTATTCCATGAAAGGAGTTGTAAACAAAATTGATATCTGGCATTATACAACACTCATTCCACATTAGACTATTGATTTTTTTTACATTGTAAAAAAGTAAGCTTTGATGATGCTGTCAGTATATGTATATAATCTGATCAGATGCTGCAGTCATGTCCTAAATAAATGATGAACTACCAGCCCTCAACTTTTTGGCAGTCTGATCACCTTTAATTATGGCTGTTTTATACTCTCTCTGTGTTGAAGGAAGTGTGATGTATGGACTATAAAATGCACTGATAAAACTGTTATATATGTCTTTGATACAAGTTTGCGATACTTTTAACTACCGGTAGATATGTACCCGGTATGTACAGTGCAGTGTGATTGAGTGTTTTACTGAATTCAAGAAGCTAAAGCTAAATAACATGGCTTTATTATGAAAGGAATGACAGGAAATTTGCTGTGTACAGGAAATAATTGTAACAGGGGAGATGGGTAAGGAAGAAATTCTGGGAATTGAAATACATATATCCTATAGCTGTAACAATAAAAGATTATAAACTAAAATATTGGAAGGAAATGAAGAAAAAAATATAAATGGTGTCTGTAGAGGTTCTAAAAAAAGTGAGCTAGAATCAGGAGCTGTAAAACACTTGTGTAAATAAAATTCACTGACAAGTATTGGGTGTTTAGTCTGCTGTCAGCTTTGTTGTGTTGAACTCCCTTTTTATTGAGTTTTTTTTTTTTCAACTACAAATGTAGTGCTCTAGAATGGACTATCTCGAAAATGTGAATGTAATTTACCATTAACTGTGCAAGAAAATTTTTTGGTAATATTTCAACATGCAAACTGTACAAAAATTGTGTTGCATTGTGAAATGTAATGGAACTAGCAGGTACAGTTTAATAATTTACAGTCAAGTTTCAATGCCAATGTTCTGGGTCATCTCTTTTAAAAATATGGAAACAATTAATATATGATCTCTGTCTAAATGAATGAATGTAAGACATAAACAAACACCCTGGAGTAGATATTTTATAGATAGAATTTTCTACAAAGATTGGCAAGAGAAGAGTGATATATTTTTTAAACAAATGCATAAATCCTGAGTGAGAGGAAGTAGTCTTGTAAAGGGAAGTGTTGTAAATGCCTTTTAGGCCAGAATTGCTCTTAATTAGTTACAATTAAAGATCAATACAGGAAATCTGTAATTCTGATTTAGAATATGTATATATCACATTATGCTTTTAATCAGGTTTTATTATAATTTGAAACATGTACTTTGGAAGTGGGGTATTTCATGCAAAATAATTCTGACACTCTATGGGTATGTTTTTGCATTTTAATTTTCTCATTTTAGATGATATATGGGCTGCAATAGGCTATCCATGTTAATATAAGTTTACAAAATCAATTAAATGAATGTTATTACTTTGAAGCTTGGTGGCACATGGATTATTAAAAGAACATGTATAGATTTTGGGTCTTTGAAAGGTTTCTGAATCAATTCTGTTATTTACTCTGTAAATAAGCTGGACTGCCTGATAAAAACATTCAGCATATATTTAATTGACAAGACAATTTATTTATAAGGAATAAGAGATCAAAGGACTGAAAATGAAAATATTAGTTTTCTGATTTAGTTGACCATTCTGCTAATGTGAAGGCCTAATATATGTGTATATTGGTAATTATTGATAAATGCCAGCAGAGGCAATACTCTGACTTACTGTGTTCTGACTTCATACTTTTTTAATCTGTTTTAATGTTTATTTCAGGCTGATTGAAGTTAGGTAATGAATACAAAGGAATTGGAGAGCAAGGTAGGTGTGAAGAGATGCTGGGGCCTGTTTTACAAGAGAACTCACGACTATAAGACCCAAAACTGTAGGTGCTTGTAAAGTTTTGCAAAATAGATCATTCTGTTCAAAACTGCTAGCATTAAAATAACTTTCTACATTACTTTTAAAAAGATTAAATAAATCATTATTAAGTTTGGGGGGTATATAGGAATCACCTTGTCCGTCTGTCCGTTTGTCTGTCCGTCCGTCCGTCCGTCTGTCTGTGCAATCGTGTCCGGTCCATATCTTTCTTACAGAGGAACATTAGAATCTACTACTTCACACAAAGATTGCCCATGACCTAAGGGTGTGTCATGACCTTGACCCAAGGTCATTTGGGGAACTTCAAAGTCACTGGAAGAAAAATTTCATAATTCATGTCTGGTCCATATCTTTCTTATAGATAAACTTGGTAGGTTCTCATTTCACACAAAGATTGCCCATGACCTAAGGGTGTGTCATGACCTTGACCCAAGGTCGTTTGGGGAAGTTCAAGGTCACTGGAAGAAAAATTTCATAATTCGTGTCGGGTCCATATCTTTCTTATGGATAAACTTGGTAGGCTCTCATTTCACACAAAGATTGCCCATGGCCCAAGGGTGTGTCATGACCTTGACCCAAGGTCATTTGGGGAAGTTCAAGGTCACTGGAAGAAAAATTTCATAATTCGTGTCCTGTCCATATCTTTCTTATGGATAAACTTGGTAGGTTCTCATCTCACACAAAGATTGCCCATGACCCAGGGGTGTGTCATGACCTTGACCCAAGGTTATTTGGGGAAGTTCAAGGTCACTGGAAGAAAAATTTCATAATTCATGTTTGATACATATCTTTATAAGGAAAAACTTACTTCTGAAAAACCCAGCGGGGGTATTTTGTCCCGTTTGGACAGTTCTAGTTTTCACTTTGATGCAAATAAGAAAGTTTGTTTTTGTTCTTAGTCATAATCGAGTTCTTTTATAAAATGGACACATGTTCTTGTTACAAAGATCTTAATCATATAAGAAAAATGAAAAAGTAAATATGTACTTATGATATATAGATAACACATTTTTCATGTGTTTTATCAAGCAAAAAAAAAAAAAACCACACACACTTACTGGTCAGGAATATGACCATGCCATGCAGGGCATGTAGTTGTTTGTCATGTCCAATGAGTCCTTCCTTCCTTCCTGTTCTTCACTCTGTCCATTCACTTTGTGCTTCCACTATTCAAGATAAGCTTAATATCAAATTTACCACAAAGACACATATTGATGAGAGCAATTTAATCGTATTATAATTCTCTATTTATGACCTTGATCTCCCTGTTTCTCATTTACTGTCCTTTCAAAGAAACCCGACCAATAGCAGATTCATACACAAAGCTTTACAAGTCAATATCAGCTATGTATTCTTGAAGCAAAATTATACATTTTTGTCATCCTGTACAATATATAAATACTATACATTACACTGTTCAGATACTCCTACAAGTAAGAGCCTAGGTTAACGTCCCTACTCTCCTTATATACCTCAGACAATGGATGCTAGAGGATGCTGGAGTAACTGTTCAGATATTTTACTTCTGCAAAAATTTAATTCGTTTTGTCTAATTGATGATAAAGGTTTAAATTACAAACAGCTTTATCATAACAAAAAAGCACATTTTCACAGCAAAATAGAATTATTAAAAGTGCTGCTTATATTGCTTTTAGGGTTTACAATGCAAAAATGGATACTGCCATTAAATAGAATAAATTATAAGGGTAATGGGAATGTAATTTTTTTTGTCACCCACTTTAACCTTTGCCTGTCTATCTATTTCTGACTATCTGTAACACTTTCGTTTCTGCCTGATATCTGGAGAAGCTTTTGAGCTTTTGCTATAAACTCAAATGCAACAACTCTCAATGGTCTAAGGGAGGCCCCTATTGATTTTTAGGTAAGGTTAGGGTCATAAATTCACCCAATGTCTGTGTGTATAAAACTCATTTCCAGGCAATATCTTGAGAAGCCTTAATATTTAAGCTATTGCAGCGAAATTTTATATGTCAACTTCCTATGGCGTAAGGAAGACCTCTGTTGGGTCAAAAGGTTAAAGGTCGGGGTCATACATTCTCTCTCTGTGTGTGTGTGTGTGTGTGTGTGTGTGTGTGTAAAGCTTTATTTCTGGGCCATATCTCAGAAAGCTTTTGAGTTTTTGTAATTAAATTTATTACCATAACTCCACATGAGATATCTCTTTCATTTGTCATCATCACTTTTTGTGGCAAATATTATATACTGTAAACCAACTTTAATTTGCGACAACTTTATTTCGCGATTTAGCAAGGGTAAACAAGTTCACGACAATTAGTTTTCACGATCAAGCGTTGTTTGCATCAGTTGTTAATTGACACAGAGACTTCAAGGACCGGTTCAGGGTGAGAAATATTAGCGATGGCAAGGCTCTCGCGAACTTCGCGAAAAATACTCACACGTGAATGAAAGTTGGTTTACAGTACCTGCTTGTTAGCTGTCTAGATCTGTATTACAGTTGTACAATTTTTTTTTTGAATTCACTAATTATATTGTTTTTCTTTTTACAATTATTTATAGGACCCCTCTCCTTTGCGAAGTAAATCAAAATACAATAAATTTCACAAACTATTCAAAGCAGTGCCTGAAGAGGAATACCCACTAAATGGTAAGTTGTTACACGATTGTATTAGTGATTTGATTTTATGCCAGGTGCTTGTACAGTACCTAACACATAGTAAACATTGTAAATTAGAAAAAAATTACTTGTATTATTAATACATGTGTAACATGAATTAAATTTTGCATTCTTGATGCTGTGAACAATGTTGAGAATCATGTTTCATGGGTTTTCAATTGCAGATTATTCATGTGCCTATATTGGAGATATTCTGTTACATGGTAGCATATACATATCACAAAACTGGATTTGCTTTTACTCCAAGATACGTGCCCGTGGACGGAGGGTAAGTTAGAGGCTTCGTTAAACAGAATCTAGGAATGAGGCAGTTTGTATGTACACTATAAAAAATATTAACATTGCCAGTGTTCCCTTGCCATTTCCATTGTACATTGTATTTAAGAAATTATTTCTGTGTCAGGGGAATGCTTTGAGAGTAAGGCCCAATTGGTGAGAGATTCTTTTTGGCAAATACATGTACATGTAAAAACTGAGTTTGAAGGGCAAAGTTTTTTTTATATGATACCGAGAGGTGTCTATTCTTGAAGGATTCTGATGACCAGGGAATTGTATGTTTTCTACTCTCTATAGAGAAATTCAGAAGTTCGATTCAAGGGAGCTGACTGGGGTTTTATTGTGTGAAAACTACAATAGAGAAATTCTTTAATTTTATACCACATGTAGCTTACATTGACTTTAGTGTATAGGCCAAGTTTAGGGGAAATCTACTGTCTAGGTATTTTTTAGGGACCGTCTCAAAACACAGGTACATTTACTATAGGATTATATAGGAAAGTACCTATTTTTTTACACTTTAAAGCAAATTTTACAAATACTATATAAGAATTTCGCTCAATTTATAAGATATGATGAGTAATGCTATATTGTACATTATATGTAAGGAACACAAAATTATCCTATCTTATCTTATTTCTGAAGGGCACTCTCAAAATGTCAAAATTAATGAAATTTCCTTGTTCTTTAATGGAGTACTACAAAATATGACAGATACAAAGGATTTATACAAAAAAAAGTTTAAAATAATTTAGAGAAACTCAAATTCCTACACTTCAAATTTCAAGAGCTTAAAATTTATATGAACAAAATGCATGCTAATGTTCACACGTAAAAAGGAAGATCTTCAAAGGTGCAATGTAATTCAATATACATTGTATAATCAACAATAGGGCTTATAGCTGGGATTAATTACACTGTTGATGATGACATAGTACCTATAACAATAACACGATTATTGGCTTTGGTGAATTCAGTACTGAAAATCAAAATAATTTTATTACGTGTACCAATATTAAAGAATTGATAAATAATTTACAGGGACATGCTTCAATCTGATGAGCAAAAATTGACTCCTGATTGGAAAATTGTTCTTTGTTATCAGCATTCTTGTAGCATTTAGAATGCTTCACAGTACAATATGCCACATATCATTCCAATTGTTAACAGCATGTTCTCTGGGGTTTCTTTTTCCAATATCACCAACAGCAAGTGAAGGTTTAGAAGTGATTGACTCTATCTGTTTCAAATACTATAAGAATATTTAGTTTCATTTGGTATAAAATATCAATAATAGTTTTACCTCTGACTAATACAATGTTTATTTTAAGGAGAATGAAGGGTTAATGTACAGACAATCATGTAAAAAGTCTGTAATAAACATTTCTAAATGTAAAACCTATAATTGTGGCTGTGATTGCTTACTTTTGAGTTACTTTGATGGAATCTGGGTTAGCGTAGGAGAAGGGACTCTCCTGTTTCCCAATATAATGACACCTGTAGGTGTGTCCATTTTAGAGACAACAGGCTCATCATGTATCTATATATGACTACATATCTTACACATATTTTAGTGGGGAAACAATTCTGTCTAAGACCCCTAATTATCATTAAATCAATAACAGAGAGCAGTGCATGCATAGTGAAGACAAACAAGTAAAAGAATGCAATGTAATATTTTCCCTATTTTTCAGCTTCAGATTCCACTGGAGAAAGTGATCAGCATTACAAGGGAGAAAACTGCACTCGTGTTTCCAAATGCTATTGGTGTGCAGACTGCTGAGGAAAAGGTATGCATACTACATAGTCTATGGGTGCAAATCTCATACCGAAATATACCAATTTTTTTGCGATAATCCACACAAAAAAAAAAAGATACAGTATTTATAGGGAATCTAATTTTTAGTCTTTTTATTGTTGATAAAGTTGTTTTTTGACATTTTTTTTCTTAAATAATAAATGTAAAACCTTTGAAAAAAATATAGAACACGGAAGTCATTTAAAGATCTTTTTTACTTACAGTATACATTTGGATCTTTTCTCATGAGAGACAATGCATACAAGTTTATAAACACAGTATGGAAGAAAACCCAATCTGTCAAAAGAATTCAGGTAATTTAAAAGTTTCTGATTTTGAAATGAATGTAATGTAATAGTACATTTAGAATAGATATTAGCTTAAAACAAAAGTTGTTAATTGCCCAAAGGAATGATATACAAGTATGCTTTATTTTTGTACATTAAATGTGGCACTGTGTTGTAAGACTTTTAAATGAAAGCAATGGATGATTTCTAATTGTTTCATATCGTAAAACATTCTGTTCTTGTTTAAATTCACCCCTCCCCTTGTAGTTTTCTACTTTTCTTTTTTGTTACTTTATTATTCTACATCCCCTTTGTAAGCATTTGCATCATGAAGCAGGTTCATTTTCCTTGCATACGAACTTGCAGATGTGCTGTATCTACAGATGCTTTATGACAGATGTGTTTTGGATTTTACATCAGACCTTAATTTTCTGATGTGTGGCTATTACTAAGAATTCTTGAAGTCCTTCCTTGCATAGATAATTCATAAGGGATGCTGTCACCGTCAATTTTGGTTTGGACTGCTGGATCAATCTTAGTTTGGATGACTATCTTACCTATATTAAATGTATGAGTGCATGTGCACATTAAAATCTTTAATGTCTTAATCTTGGGCATGGAGCAGATCCATGCCCAAGTATAGTACTAAGAACATTAGTTTGATTAAACTGAAAGGATGATGGATGTATTATAGTGGTGCTAATTTTTACCAGTCATACTTCACATGCTGATTTGACCTGTTTTTGATGAGTGGTAAGATTAAGTAATAATGAATCCTTCCTTGACAAACTTGTGATTGATGAATACAGTAGATATGCTGACTACCTTTCATGGTTCATATACATACTTTATATGTGACCTGTGACCTATATTTTGAAGGTGAATGGACAAAGTATTTTTTGAACAGGTCCACAAGTTACTTTAAGCTCTAAAGCTCTACTTTATGCCAAACTTGCAATGATGATGAGTCAATGGATGTACATAACTAAACTCTTGCATCAGATACTATATTTTACAGGTGTGTGTGTGTGTGTGTGTGAAACACTTGATGAGGCCTTGCATGTAAATTCTTTTTGATTGTGTAGAGCCTTATGTAACTTTTGGTTTCAGTACTTTTCTTTCAACAAAATTTGGCTTTAGCTGTATTTATTTTAATTTTCAGAATGATCATACATTTGATTTTCTAAAAGAAACTGCAGTACTTAATGCCTCTGTAAGTAGATCAAAGATCAAATTAAATGCAATACTAATGACTGATCTTAATTTGGTTTTGCATCTTTTTTTATTGCTTAACTCACATTTACATCATGGTTCTTTTCATTAATTGAAAATTCGGTACATATGTGCTTAACTCCATGACATCTATATAATTAAAATTGCCAGGAGAAAAATGATTCAGGGTTAATCAAGCATATAATGGATTCTAATAAAAGGATTGATGTATCAAGAATTTAATTTTACACTGTAATTTAGTAAATTAACTGAATTTGAAGTTTCAAAGATAATACATAACAAATTTTGAAATGATTGTAGGTCTCTACTCCTGTATTCTCTATTGGGCCATCAGAGTGTGATAACGAAGTGGAGGAGGAGGAAGCCTGCTCTATAGAGGAAGATCCCGAGGGTCGTGAGGAATATCCAGAGGGTCACGAGGAATATCCCAAGGGATGCGTTAACTGTGATAATCAGACTGTCCACACCAACTCAAGCTCTAATCAAAATAACAATATAGTCACGTCAGACTCTTCTGATGTGGGCGTGTGCAATCTTTGTGATAAATTAGACAGTGATAAACTTGACTCTACTAAGTTTCTTGAAAATGGCAAATCCCCGACCTCAGTCCGAAAAGATCAAGGCAAGGGACCAGTGATTCGTGCTTTTAACATTCCATATATTTTTGAATGTAAGTAGTACATGTACCGGTATTCATTGGGCAATTAGTCACTCTGAAACAATACTTAAGATAATAAATCTTCTTGAAGTATGCTTTGTAAAAGGAAATACATCTACTGTAATATCAATTAGCAGATGAAAAAAAAAACAGTTGATATTAAAACTGTCAATGCATGTGCATTACCTCACAAAATTTCTTAATATTCCATGTTGATTGAATAAAATCCATGTCTTGCAAGTTAATATTAGACAATTTTAAGAACATTTTTGGCTTTAAAAATATTTTCAAAGGAATCTTTTTTTTCCCATTATACATTAAATCATAAAATTTCTGCAACCATCTTGAAATTATCTTGGGCCAAAATGAAAGTTTATTGACCCTGCTTCTACCAGAGGTACATGTATATATGTGTCATTATAACCATCAGTTAACCTTCTTTTCTTTACACTTTTGTTTTACAGGTTTTGAAGTGCATAAAATGATGGCTGCTTTTTCAGAATTAAGTTTAAAGTTCCAAAAGTAAGAATTCATTACTTTGTCTTAAGACTAGAATGCCTTGACCTTTTTAAATGTGGAAAAAAAGATAAAAAAGGGGGGGGGGGGGGTAAACATGACCGTCTTTTTCCCACATGCACTAATTCTGCACCATGAACTTTTTGTACATTACATTGATTATGACTAAAAGCTCTTTGTCATACATGTAATAAATATAATATTTAGATTTAAATCTTTCTTTGCTGATTGATATCACTATACATGTCCTGGTATGTCATCAAGAGATTTTTGTTTTACAGGATACCCAGAACCAATTTGTTGTTAGCTGTCTGTTCTGTTATGTAAGTCATAAAAAAATTATGAAATAAATAGAATGATATTCGAGTTTAAACAGAAATAAGGAACTTGGACATCATTTATATAACTATATTTAATATTGCTTACATAAATGTAAATAGAGAATTTTTCAAAATATTTTCGACTGTAGCTTGCAGAAAAAGCAATATCATTATAATATTCTTTTCATCTGAAATTGCAGATGAATTAAATATTGGATTCTGTATTTTGTAGGATTTTTTTTAAAATTCTGCATATCATTGTTGTCATCTGGTATAATTGTGGATCAAGGATTGAAATCTGTACATTGTAGGATTCTGTTTTTAATGCTTTCTGCTGTTGCCCTTACATACAAGATCTTGGTTCTTCAAGCAAGAATTGATGGGAAAGAATTCTGGACCCCAGTGGCCAAACAGAACTGGAGGTACCTTTTCTTTATTAATTTATTGACCATCTTTTTAAGATGGAGGCCACTGAGCCATAGCCAACACCAAATTTCCAAAATGCTTAAATATTTTGTTATTGCAGTCTGCACCATATTGAGTTGGATGTCAAATATAAAACTTTGCAGAAAACACTGCATTTGATTATTTTTTATGTCCTTTTCTGTATTTGTGTAATACTTTGTAGGAGCAATCTGTATTCCAGTTTCTATGAACTGCAGGCCAGTTCCCACATGGCCACTATACAACAACTTCACCAGGTCCTGGAGGCCAATCTCCACATGTTAGAGGAGGTATGATTTCTCTGCTCTGTTTCCTAAAATAAAAGTAGACCTTAATCCATGTATACAATGTTGTTCAGTACAAAGATTGACTGAAATTAAAATGGGTGACTTTTAATGGCAGTTGAAAAGTTGGAAGGAAAAAATATTTTTTATTTCCAAATTTTCATTATAATTACATGTATACATTTTATACAAACTTAATAATACTTTAAATTTTAGATTGGTTTGAATCTGAAATCTTTGCAAACAACAACAGGCAATTTAAACAATTGTCAAACCAAAGAAGAGAATTGCAAAAACACCAAAGTATAGTCATACATTAAACACCTACGTCCTCTGCTTTGGAATCATACAGGGTGTGTCATCAATCTTTGGAATCATACAGGGTGTGTCATCAATCTTTGATAAAGTGGACTTACATAAGACCAGGGCTAGAGAAAAAAGTCTTGGAGAGTGTGCTTCTGTCTCCTTGTTTGTGGATTTTTATTTTTTAAAATCCATGATGTGTGAATGCTCTATGCATTTTTATTTGTCATTACTTAGAATAATGATGTCCTATTTACATGTGAGTGGAAAATACTGTGTACTTTCCCTGTATGTACATGTACATATATATTCTAAGGTCAACCTTTTTCATCAAGTCTGTGATAATTATTTTTTTATGGTCACAAAAGTTAAGCCTGCCATCTTTGATTTGTTTATTGCGTGCAATCAGAAATGTTTATGGAATGTGCTTTTGTTCTGTTCTAGCTGTTTTTCACCGGAAAAGAATGTGATTATATACACCAAGAGTAGTATGTATTTACAAAGCTTTTTCACATTCACCATTACTGTACTTGAATTCTGATCTGCTGCTACAAAGAAATTTATATAATTTTATTTTTAGGATTTACATCCTGTAGTTCTGTATAGTATTTAAATGCAAAAGATACTTTCTATTAAATTTCAGTTTAAGTTTAAAACTGGTACATGTACTTAAAACAATTTTTGATGAATTCATATTTGACAGGAAAATGTAATTTTTAGAGAAAAGAATTCTATCAATATAGAACTGTCATATGACATCCTGTTTATGGTTAAGATAGACTGATGTATCCCTTTAAAACTTATATTTAATGCTTTTATTTATTGATGCATTAGTAATAGCATATTGAAAAATCATTTTCACTTTGTAAGACCTTTCCTATATTTAAGTGCAATATCAGTACATCAAGTCACAAAGTGTGACCAGTTGTGTTTGTTGGGGCTGACTGGAAAACATGCACTTTTAATTTTAACAAGTTTTAGTGTTAGGTTGTTGGTCATGAATTACAATTGCATCTTATTCAAATTAAGTATAATTTAAAAGCAGATCATTTTGCCTGACATGGCCTGAAAACATTAGCTATTAAGATATATCTGAGGGGGCACATTATTGCAGCAACCTGTGATTGTGAAAAGAATCACTTAAAATAGAATTACTAGCATGCATATATATGCATTTAAATTTAAATAAATTATGTACGGTAGTCAAATTCACTAAACATGTTAAAATTATGTATTGATAAACATTTCTAAGGAATGTTAAGGGGTCTCTGATTTTCAGAGTTCTCAACATGGAATATACATATTAGAATTTCTATTTACATATGTGCCATAAAAATTACTAAAGTTATTTTTAGTGTACAGTGTATTTTCTTAATATTACTAATATATTAATCAACCTTAATACTATAACAAATTTCAGCCATAAATTAATTAGGACAATGATAATTTTATTTTGACCTTGTGTGTAACTTTTTATAACTGGTCGTGAGGAAATGTTTTCATAATGGGTTGCTTTTTTCTAATAATATACATGTAACACAAAACTTTTTTTAAAAAAATTATTATGCAATTCTTTCTCATTTAAACATCTCCATCTGGAATTGCAGTAAATCATTTTTTTCCAAGATTAAAACAACCTCAACATTTGTTTAACAAAATGGAATAAAAGCTTGCATCTTCTCAATTTTCAACATAATATGTCCAAAATAGCATTGAAATGCTATTAGAAGCTTGTAGGAAGCTTCTATTTATCAGTGTTTGAAATTTTATGTGCTGTGGCATTTTTATTGTTAATTTTTTTGGACAGTGTTGTACTTGTCTTTGTGAGCTGCATCTACATCTATTTAAAATTATGTTGATTTGAATTAAGTTACCAGACTTGACACTTTAATTTGAGAACAAGCTTTCTGTTTCCAATATGCACCAGAGTTGAAACCAAGCCATCAGTATTGTACATGATGTTGTTTGAATTTTCTCAAATGTCATTTGCATTTTAGGCAAATTTTGTGACTGTATACATGTGGTATAGTGTTTTTCATTTTCCCCTTTTTGATGGTAACAATCCATTTTTCATACAAGTTTTCTGCTCAGCATAACAGAATTCAATGAGTACACATGACAGCCCCTGCATTTGAATTATGCAATGTTTACAAGCAGACAATCAGCCATATTTTTTGTTTTGTATTTTAAATCACCCACCACATCACAATGGCTTAATATTTTTGACCTCAGGTACACATTCTGTGAGTGGATGTATTCTAGTGATGATGTTAGCAGTTTTCACAGCTAGATTACTTGTTTAATACACCATTTATGTATTATAAAACCTTTACTCAAATGACAATGTTTCAATCAGTATAAATCAGCATTGTGCCATCATGTTAACTTTTAAACAAATTTAAGAGCCAAATTTTTACTCTGTTTACCTAAGTTGTACTTATACAAATATAAAGTACATGGTTTGTAAGGAAATCTTAATATTGAGGAAAATATCAGACAAGTTTTAAAAACAACGAAATATGAATAGGTTATTGGATTCATTTGAATATTTATGTTTAAAAAATAAAAAGAAAAGAAATAAAACATTCAAGTTTTGATTGTGCATGTAAATGTTTAAAAAATCTAAAGTTCTTTTGTGTTTCTGCTTCTCATCATTGAGCTGTTTTCTTAACTGGTGGTGGGGATGCATGTGCAAGAATAATCAGGATTTGGGTCTTCAGGGTTTTTATGTTGTCTTAAAGATTTGTGTTTGATATTTGAATTTATACAATTGCCATTCCTATATTTTCATTCCAAAGAGTCCCAAGAATATTTGTGAAGGAAATTGGGCACTTGCAAATAATTTTTTATAAAAAATTGTAATTATTGCTAATACATGTATCATTCTTGTTATTGTTTGGAGAGGGTTGTGGGGTGGTTTTAATTTGTAGTTTGTTACATTGTTGGTGTTTCTTTTGTTTTGGCAAGACAACTGAGCTACTTTCAGTTTTATTGAATTTGTTGTTTGGGTGCATATATAAAGCTTTCAGATACATATTCATGATGAGTAAGTGCTAAAAAAATTGATGAACTTGTAGCAGAGCAACAGCATTTAAGTTTACCTCCTGTTCATATGCATGACTTGCAGTTCTTTGTGTATTTTACAATTTGTCATTAATTTTTCGCTAATATTAATAGATTTAGAACAATCCTGCTGTTTTCTGTTGATTTTGAAGATTTTTATGCATATTTTTTATGTAGATAGGGCATAAACTAAGTATTTAAGAGCATGAACATAGATAAAAACTCTAAAAGAAACTCAAATGACAATGTAAAAAAAATCTTAATTTTATTTCTGATCAATATGTTGTGTATTTTGTGTATTCATCACAGGTAAAACACTTTTGTTACATGTTTTTCATGGTGATACTCATTCAGGCAATCCATTGTCCTATTTAAGGTTAAGATCTAGTTACCAGTACTATACATTTTAACTAAAAAAAAAAACAACAATAATTTTGCTCTTAGATCTATTAAGACATCATACACTTGCATGCATGTTGTTAAAACTTACATGACCACAGTAGATGTTGTTCATGTATAAATAAAATGCAGGAAAATATGCATTGAAGATCAGATGTTTGTAAGATATTACCTGGTACTCAAAACCTAGCTGTTTCTATATTTTTTGTTCAAATTACATACACAGTAATTGCAAAATTTAATGACCTATGTATATGTTGTAATAATATTGTGTTTTTGTGCAAAAGAAAAAAAAATTCCTAAAAACTCTGTTTTTTACACAATTACATATATACAAAATTAAATTTTTCTTGCAAAAACATTTTTAAATCCAGACAGTATTTTCTATAAAAATCTAGTCTACAAAATTGTATTTCATAATGTTTTTATTTGTAACAAATCATTCAGAAATGCACCTGTTTCAGATCTTGGAAACAAATGATGAGATCATTACTTGTACTCTTCATTTTGACAAGGAGTTTCAAACCTTCAATTGTTTAAATAAATTAAAATTTCCAGTTGGTTTCCAGTTTGTGCTGGATTGATTTGATCTCTTATTAAACCCAATATTCAGTATTGTAGACTGATGTTTGTGTTGTTGAACTTCCATACTAACCATATTTTTCTATATGAATTTTACCCTCAGTATCTTAAAACCTTTGGATTTTTCTCAGTTCATCAACTGAGATACTTTCAATTGTACATGATGTATGCCTTTGTAACCAAAAAAGAAAAACCTATTGACCATATAAAAAGATGAATATGTACAATGTACTGAAAAGTTCAAAAATTCACGAAGAATCCTTACATATCTGTATAGTGTAAATATGTACCACATCTCTTAAAGAGGAACCATTTGTCACAAACCATGTTATATTGTTAGTAATGACCTTCCATGTCAGTAATTTGTTTTGTTTAGGATTAATTGTCATGGCATTGTGTGTATAAACTTATACAACATATTCAATTTATATTGAAGGTTTTTTGTACTTAAAAATTCCAAATATAAGATCCATCCAAGATTTGTAAGCTTCTATTTTTTTTGTGTCGATTCTGTCATAACTATCAATCATAGAAACAGATAAACTGAAGTAGACATAATTAGTATAGAAAAATACTTTGTTTAGTTGTGTACTCGCTACTGCAACTGCAGTTCATAAGAATTTTCATTATGATGAGACAAAGAGTCATTATTTATTGTTTTGTTGATTGTGCTGTAATCCTAATTATATTGATTTGAGCCATGATGCTCTTGTGTGAAATTTTGAGGAAATAAACTATTTTGTTTTTTAAATCTTTTGTAATTGCTTGGTAAATTACAGCCACTTCTTAGGTTTTATGCTTACAAGATGCAGCATCAATTTTAGTTCTTCCTTTATGAAAAGTTATCATTTATAATAACACCGTACAAGCTCTTGTAAATACACATGGAAAAAGTATATGCATAATGCCATTTATTGTCAAAGAACTATATGCGGTATTAACCAACATTTGCCCCCCAAAATCAAACTTTGATGGAGTAATATTTAATTAAGTCCTTAAACAGGGGAGTATATGCTGACTTCAAAGCACTGAATAATTTCATAAATAATGACGTCATATGTACGTAATGACGTCACAAATATGACGTAAATTTCAGTTTTTTATGAATTTTGCAGAAAAATGTACATATTTCGTCGATATTTTAAATAAAAGTCACCGAGCGCATGTGTGTTCAGGATAAATATTTTGATATAATGTGTAGAATGATGATATCAATGAAATATGTCAATATTGTTCCTGAACACACATGCGCTCTATAAATTTTAAAGCTTAAATTGTTGAAATTTTGTCCATTTTGTCCTCTTTCTGAAAAAGGATATAAAATCGAACTAGTTTGTGACGTCATAAAAACAGAAATTGTGAATACACTGCTCTGGAACTATAATATTTTCTGTTAACTTATATTTCTCGTACAATTTATTGAATTCAGCACATTTCAGGAAGTTTTCAAAATTTGACTTTAGTGGGGGCAAACATATGCAATATACCGCATATAGTTCTTTCAGAATTGAAGATTCTGAATACAAGTATTTCAAATGACTTGAAATTCAATATACGAAGGTTGTTCGAAAAATTTGTGGACTCCTGTCATATCTTTTTAGCTCTACTGGTCAGAGACCAGAAGAGCTTATGAGATAGTAATGCGTCCGTCGTCCGTTTGTCTGTCTGTCCGTCCGTCTGTCTGTCTGTCTGTCTGGAAACAATTTTTCAAAATGCTATTCCTCCTACAGTTTTGGTTTGATTTCAATATAACTTGGCACACAAATAGACTACACTAAGATACATAATTCTGTGCATCGGTTTTTGATTTCGATGAACGGTGTTGCCATGGTTACTAAAAATAGAAATTTCTGTGAAATTTTTTCAGAATGCTACTCCTCCTACAGTTTTGGTCCGATTTCAATATAACTTGACACACAAGTAGACTACACCAAGATACATAATTCTGTGCATCGGTTTTTGATTTCGATGAACGATGTTGCCGTTGTTACTAAAAATAGAAATTTCTGTGAAATGCTTTCAGAATGCTACTCCTCCTACAGTTTTGGTCCGATTTCAATATAACTTGGCACACAAGTAGACTACACTAAGATACATAATTCTGTGCATCAGTTTTTGATGAAAGGTGTTGCCATGGTTACTAAAAATAGAAATTTCTGTGAAATTCTTTTAGAATGCTACTCCTCCTACAGATTTGGTCCGATTTCAATATAACTTGACACACAAGTAGACTACACCAAGATACATAATTCTGTGCATCGGTTTTTGATTTCGATGAACGATGTTGCCGTTGTTACTAAAAATAGAAATTTCTGTGAAATGCTTTCAGAATGCTACTCCTCCTACAGTTTTGGTCCGATTTCAATATAACTTAGCATACAAGTAGACTACACTAAGATACATAATTCTGTGCATTGGTTTTTGATTTCGATGAACGGTGTTGCCATGGTTACTAAAAATAGAAATTTCTGTGAAATGCTTTCAGAATGCTACTTCTCCTACAGATTTGGTCCGATTTCAATATAACTTGACACACAAGAAGACTACACTAAGATACATAATTCTGTGCATCGGTTTTTTTATTAGGTCACCTGAGTAAACTCAGGTGACCTATTGCTATCCGTTTTCGTCCGTCGTCGTCCGTCGTCCGTCGTTCGTCGTTCGTCGTCCGTCGTCCGTCGTGTGTAAACATTTGAACATTTTCAGCTTCTTCTCTGCAACCACTGAACCAATTTCAACCAAATTTGGCACAAAGCATCTATGGGTGAAGGGGAACAAAAATTATGAATTTCATGATCCCTGCCCCCCTGGGGCCTGAGGGGTGGGGCCAAAACCACTAAAATTAATGCAATCTTTAAAAATCTTCTTCTTTACTCCTGGACATCAAGCAGTCAAACTGTTTGCATGATTGTAATCAGCATTGAGTCCTTTACCAAAATTGTGAAATTCATGGCCCTGGGGTCAGGGGTTCTAGTGCTAGGGCGGGGCTAAATAAGTATATAGTGAAAATGCATTATTTCTTTGGAAATCTTTTTCTCTACTCCTGGGTACTAAATAAACCAACTAAGTACATAGTTATGATGAGCAAGAGTGCCTCTACCAAAATTGTGAATTTTATGGCCCCAGGGTCAACTGTTCTGGTGTTAGGGCGGGGCTCTATTGATTATATATAGTGAAAATACATGATTTCTTTGAAAATCTTCTTCTCTGCCCCTGGGTATTAAATATACTAACTAAGTGCATAGTTATGATGAGCATGAGTGCCTCTACCAAAATTGTGAATTTTATGGCCCCAGGGTCAGGGGTTCTGGTGTTAGGGCGGGGCTCTATTGATTATATATAGTGAAATTACATGATTTCTTTGAAAATCTTCTTCTCTGCCCCTGGGTATTAAATATACTAACGAAGTGCATAGTTATGATGAGCAAGAGTGCTTTTACCAAAATTGTTAATTTTATGGCCCCAGGGTCAAGGGTTCTGGTGTTAGGGGGGGGGGGGCTCTATTGATTATATAGTGAAAATACATGAATTCTTTGAAAATCTTCTACTCTGCTCCTAGGTATTAAATAAACCAACTAAGTGCATAGTTATGATGAGCAAGAGTGCCTCAACCAAAATTGTGAATTTTATGGCTCAAGGGTTCTGGTGTTAGGGCGGGGATCTATAGATTATATAAAGTAAAAATACATGAATTCTTTGAAAATCTTCTTCTCTGCTCCTAGGTATTAAATAAACTAACTAAGTGCATAGTTATGATGAGCAAGAGTGCTTTTACCAAAATTGTGAATTTTATGGTCCCAGGGTCAGGGTTTCTGGTGTTAGGGCAGGGGTCTATTGATTATATATTAAAAATACATGAATTCTTTGAAAATCTTCTTCTCTGCTCCTAGGAATTAAATAAACTAAGTACATAGTTATGATGAGCAAGAATGCCTCTTTTAAAATTATGAATTTTATGGCCCCAGGGTCAGGGGTTCTGGTGTTAGGGGGCGGGGCTCAATTGATTATATAATGAAAAAACATTAAATCTTTGAAATTTTTTTTTCTTTGTCTCTGGGTATAAAGCAGATGAACTACCTTTATAGTTATGATGAGCAAGGGCCTTAATCTTGCAGAATTGAGAATTTCAAAGCCCCAGGGTCAGGGGTGGGGTGGGGGCTCTACTTATATACTGAAAATGAATTTATTGTTTGAAATCTGCTCTTTTGTATTTATAAAACATTTATTTTTTTGATATTAAGGGTGCCTTTTTGAAATTTGTGCAATGTGTGGACCTTGGGTCAGGGGTTTATGTCACAGTGTTAGGGGCACTACTGGTTAGTTGGAATGCATTTTTGTTCCCCTACCCTGCATATGGATATTCAGTAACCAAGCTAAGCAACTGCTAAGTGTATTGTAATGATGATCAATGGTGCCTCTTTCAAAATTGTGAATGTCATATAGCATCTGGCTTAAAACATGGATCAAATTCAATAACTGGAAAATTGTTGCATTATGCTCAGGTGACCTATAAGGCCCGTGGGCCTCTTGTTTTGATGAATGGTGTTGCCGTTGTTACTAAAAATAGAAATTTCTGTGAAATGCTTTCAAAATGCTACTCCTCCCACAGTTTTGGTTCGATTTCAGTATAGCTTGGCACACAAGTAGACTACACTAAGATACATAATTCTGTGCATTGGTTTTTGATTTCAATGAACGGTGTTGCCGTTGTTTTTAAAAATATAAAAATTTCTGAAATGCTTTCAAAATGCTATTCCTCCTACAATTTGGTCCTATTTCAATATAACTTGGCACACAAGTAGACTACACTAAGATACATAATTCTGTGCATTGGTTTTTGATTTCGATGAAAGGTGTTGCCATGGTTACTAAAAATAGAAATTTCTGTGAAATTCTTTCAAAATGCTTCTCCTCCTACAGTTTTGGTCCAATTAAGATAAGATACATAATTCTGTGCATTGGTTTTTGATTTTGATGAACGTCAATGGTGTTGCCGTGATTACTAAAAAATAGAAAATTCTGTAAAATTCTTTCAAAATGCTACTCCTCATACAGTTATGGTCCGATTTCAATATAACTTGGCACATAAATAGACTATACTAAGATACATAATTCTGTGCATTTTGCTTTATTTTGATGAGCGGCAAGGATCATTTCTCTACTTATTGCTGTATAAACCAGTAGAGCTACAGTCTCGACAGAGACTTCTGGTTTTTTAATGTCATACGCTTACCAAATTTGGTAGAAATGTTATCAAACATATTAAAATTATCATGATTTATTTCAAACCTATCCAGAATTAAAAACTTAAAAAATCGGACAGCGGAGCAGGTCAAAATTGAGTGATTCACAAACAAAACATTATATAAAAACGTGATAATGTTTGTATTCATATTCTGTAAAATGAAACAAAAACGAAAATAAATCCTACACTTTTAAATTGAGAACTGTTACATTGATTCAGATTCCAAATTAGGGCTTTATATTTTGCTTCATTTGAAAGAAATCAGTTTGAGAAAATAGGTAGTCCTCATTGAAAGCGACAAAAATGAGGATTTTGTTGAACGTCACTGAGCAGCAGATTTTGATGCAAGTGTGTGTTATACTAGGGGAAACTCCTGAATAAACTCTAAAAATGTTAAAGGAATAAAAAAATATATTGCAATTAAGTCGAGCATGTCTTTATAAATTGTACAGGTGGTAAAGAAACTGTATCGGACGAGAACAGTCAGTGAAGAAAAGGCGGTTTATCTGGAAAAATCTGAACAAATACTCTAATAAGTACAACGTCAAGTTCAGACATAGGCGCTTCAGAGTTTTCTTGTGCTTATTTTAAATTTCTTGAATGTAGTGTAACGAAGAATGACATCATCCACAAACTTTTCGAACAACCCTTGTATATCTCATAGTATTTTATTCTAAAAATACTCCCTTCATTTCGTTAACTGACAAACACACTCACACTCACACAAACTTGAAGTGGCTTATAAAAGATGTTCCCATGAAAATGGATTGGACCAAACACTTGCAATATTCAATTTTTGGTTTAAAACAAAACACAAAACTAGTACTTGTATATATATTGAAATATTATATGCCATAAATTCAATTACAGTAAATTTTATACAATGGTGAACTTATAAACTACCAGATATCTTATTGTGTTTATATCTTATCGCACATTTATAACACCATTCACAAAGATGTATGAGAAATGTGTTCATAACTGATTTTTCTTCCTCTGATACTATCCAAGAATGGAATTATTTTTACCATTAAAATTATTTGAACAGAGGTCGAAAATGTGGATGCATGACAATTCAATAGTTTTTCTATAAAAGTTAACATTTTTTCACATCTTGGGGTAGTCTTCCAGTTCATGAGGAGCGGGCTCATTCCAATATTCTCCTATAGGTTTACTGAAAGCATCATTTTTCCTGAAAGGCGTGTCTCCAGTTTTAAGTTGGGAGACTCCCTGCAATTAATCCACAAAATTGAATACGCACCTTCACATATTTTAATGAGATAATAATACTGACATAAATCATATCTAGGTAAATGATAAATAAGTATATAGACTGTTATATACATGTATAAATAATATAATGCACTTACATGAATAACATCTTTGTGTTCTGACCAAAACGTAACAGGCTGGTCTTTTCTGTAATCGTGTGTCTAATTGGAAAAAAAAAAAACGAAGTATTTGTATTAATGCATAGATTAATATTGCCCATATCTTCTTTTGTAATTAATGTAAAGTCACTATTTTTTTTTTTTGGAGGGGGGAGGGTGAGTTTGTTTTCATAATAGACTCATGAATTAAATTAAATTCCTATCAATGATTTTTCTGAAAACCACAAAAATATGACTCTAAAAAATATATGATTTTAAATAATTATTGAACATTAACTCGTACAAGTTCTCATCATACTCTAAATTAAATCACAGATTCGCTAATGAACCCTTATTTGTTTACGTCCCTGTAAAGTCAGTTGGTTTGGTAGAGTTTAATGTGATTGCTAACAATCCTTGGACAAGTATAAAAATTGTTTGACACGGATTTGTAGGAGATATGTAGAGTGAGATCACACCTTTACATTTCAGTCTCAATATTCAATTGTTGATAAAAAAAAAGCTCTAAATTAAAGTTTAAATCTGCTTGTCTTTGGAGATTTTTATCTCAATTTGGGAAAAAAAGATTCAATTTTCAGTTGGGACAGGGTCATTTGACTTGACCTCTTTGCAACAGATATTAAGCCCTGGTACTCCACTGAATTAAGTTACCATGATTATAATGGCACCCTCCCTTTTCTTCTCTTTCAAATAATAAATTTAAGGGGGCCGACTATAGTTTCCATTGCGCAATATTTCGCGCATCATAGTAAAATGAAGCGTATTTAGTGTTTTAATGCAACTTTTTTTGCTTAATTATCAAAATTAAACAAAATTAAGAAATTACAGATATAAAAATGTAGTGACAATTTGATATAACTGATTTTTTAACCGATTTTGCAATTGATAGGTAGGTTGACGTCGTTGCAGTGTGTTTTTGACGTTATGATAATCTGTGTCTCTTAAAGAAAGGGGTAATGAAAATATTATTAAAGAAAAAGTAGTAAACATACGCTCTTGAAATTTAAAACACATGAATTTGAGAATATCTCTAATATTTTTATTATGTTTTCATGTGAATCCATTGTGTACGTCATATTTTGTAATACTCTATAAAAATAGTAAAATTTGCTAATTTTTTAGCTCTACTGGTCAGAGACCAGAAGAGCTTATGCGATAGTAATGCGTCCGGCGTCCGTCCATCTGTCTGTAAACAATTTTTCAAAACGCTACTCCTCCTACAATTTTAGTCTGATTTCAATATTACTTGGCACACAAGTAGACTACACTAAGATACATAGAATAGTGCATCGGTTTTTAATTTCGATGAATGGTGTTGCCATGTATACTAAAAATAGAATTTTCTGTGAAATTCCTTGAAAACACTACTCCTTTTACAGTTTTGGTCTGATTTCAATATAACTTGGCACACAAGTACACTACACTAAGATACATAATTCTGTGTATTGGTTTTTAATTTCAATGATCGGTGTTGCCGTTGTTACTAAAAATAAAAATTTCTGTGAAATTCCTTTAAAACGCTACTCCTTTTACAGTTTTGGTCTGATTTCAATATAACTTGGCACACAAGTATACTACATTAAGATACATAAAATAGTGCATCGGTTTTTGATTTCGATGAACGGTGTTGCCATGGTTACTAAAAATAAAAATTTCTGTGAAATTCCTTTAAAACGCTACTCCTTCTACAGTTTTTAGCTCTACTGGTCAGAGACCAGAAGAGCTTATGTGATAGTAATGCGTCCGGCGTCCGTCCGTCTGTCTGTCTGTCTGTCTGTCTGTCCGTCTGTCTGTCCGTCTGTCTGTAAACAATTTTTCAAAACGCTACTCCTCCTACATTTTTAGTCTGATTTCAATATTACTTGGCACACAAGTAGACTACATTAAGATACATAGAATAGTGCATCGGTTTTTGATTTCGATGAACGGTGTTGCCATGGTTACTAAAAATAGAATTTTCTGTGAAATTCCTTAAAAACACTACTCCTTCTACAGTTTTGGTCTGTTTTCAATATAACTTGGCACACAAGTAGACTACACTACGATACATAGAATAGTGCATCAGTTTTTGATTTCGATGAACGGTGTTGCCATGGTTACTAAAAATAGAATTTTCTGTGAAATTCCTTAAAAACGCTACTCCTTCTACAGTTTTGGTCTGATTTCAATATAACTTGGCACACAAGTAGACTACACTAAGATACATAGAATAGTGCATCGGTTTTTGATTTCGATGAACGGTGTTGCCATGGTTACTAAAAATAGAAATTTCTGTGAAATTCCTTAAAAACGCTACTCCTTCTACAGTTTTGGTCTGATTTCAATATAACTTGGCACACAAGTAGACTACACAAAGAAACATAGAATAGTGCATCGGTTTCTAATTTTGATGAACGGTGTTGGCATGGTTACTAAAAATAGAATTTTCTGTGAAATTCTTTAAAAACACTACTCCTTCTACAGTTTTGGTCTGATTTCAATATCACTTGGCACACAAGTAGACTACACTAAGATACATAGAATAGTGCATCGGTTTTTGATTTCGATGAACTTTGTTGCCATGGTTACTAAAAATAGAATTTTCTGTGAAATTCCTTTAAAACGCTACTCCTTCTACAGTTTTGGTCTGATTTCAATATAACTTGGCACACAAGTAGACTGCACTAAGATACATAGAATAGTGCATCAGTTTTTAATTTTGATGAACGGTTTTGCCATGGTTACTAAAAATAGAATTTTCTGTGAAATTCTTTAAAAACGCTACTCCTTCTACAGTTCTGGTCTGATTTCAATATAACTTGGCACACAAGTAGACTACACTAAGATACATAGAATAGTGCATCTGTTTCTGATTTCGATTAACGGTATTACCATGGTTACTAAAAATAGAATTTTCTGTGAAATTCCTTAAAAACGCTACTCCTTCTACAGTTCTAGTTTGATTTCAAAATAGGTTGGCACACAAGTAGACTACACAAAGATACATAAAATAGTGGAATGGTTTTTGATAAGTACAAACCAGTAGAGCTACAGTCTCGACAGAGACTTCTGGTTGGTCTGATTTCAATATAACTTGGCACACAAGTAGAATACACTAAGATACATATAATAGTGCATCGGTTTTTGATTTTGGTGAACGGTGTTGCCATGGTTACTAAAAATAGAATTCTCTGTGAAATTCCTTTAAAACACTACTCCTTCTACAGTTTTGATTTGATTTCAATATAACTTGGCACACAAGTAGACTACACTAAGATACATAGAATAGTGCATCGGTTTTTGATTTCAATGAACGGTGTTGCCATGGTTACTAAAAATAGAATTCTCTGTGAAATTCCTTTAAAACACACTCCTTCTACAGTTTTGGTCTGATTTCAATATAACTTGGCACACAAGTAGACTACACTATAAAAATACATAGAATAGTGCATCGGTTTTTAATTTCGATGAACAGTTTTGCCATGGTTACTAAAAATAGAATTTTCTGTGAAATTCCTTGAAAACACTACTCCTTCTACAGTTTTGGTCTGATTTCAATATAACTTGGCACACAAGTAGACTACACTAAGATACATAGAATAGTGCATCGGTTTTTGATTTTGGTGAACGGTGTTGCCATGGTTACTAAAAATAGAATTCTCTGTGAAATTCCTTTAAAACGCTACTCCTTCTACAGTTTTGGTCTGATTTCAATATAACTTGGCACACAAGTAGACTACACTAAGATACATAGAATAGTGCATCGGTTTTTAATTTCGATGAACGGTGTTGCCATGGTTACTAAAAATAGAATTTTCTGTGAAATTCCTTAAAAACGCTACTCCTTCTACAGTTTTAGTTTGATTTCAAAATAAGCTGGCACACAAGTAGACTACACAAAGATACATAAAATAGTGCAATGGTTTTTGATAAGTACAAATCAGTAGAGCTACAGTCTCGACAGAGACTTCTGGTTGCATTTTGAGATGCCCCCTCTGGTAACAACACGGTATAATTTTGTGTTTCTTACATATATTGTATAATATAGTATTACTCATCAAATATTATAGTTTGAACAAAATGTCAAAATGTCTATTGTAGTTTTTGTATAATTTGATTTAAAGTGCTAAAAATTGGCATTTAATTCCCATATAATCCTATAGTACATGTGCCTGTATTTTGAGACGGTCCCTCAAAAATACCTGGACGGTAGATTTCCCCCAAACTTTGCATGTACACTGAAGTTAATGTAAGTTATATATGATATAAAAATGAAGAGTTTCGCTATTGTAGTTTTCACACAATAAAACTATAGTCGGCCTCTTAATTTCGTATAAAATTAGCATGCTCTAAATTTAGCATTATCTACCTACAGTATTTACTTGATAAGTGCAATCTTAAGTTAGTGCACTTTAGTCTTGATTTAACATTAGTATTGGTTAACATCACGTACTGTTGTGTCAATGAATCGGGGAAAAGGCTTTAAAGAAGGACTAGTCACTAATGCTACAGTTGCTACTTAAAGTACATTTAAAATATTTAAAGAAATTCTTTTTATGGCATTTGTATGAAAGTAACATAAAATAGCTGTTTAATTTCAACCATGCACCAAATTTGATTCTATGATTTTGATGTAGTACCTTTGTGGGAACTGGCTTTTTGCTGACAAATTCAGGTTTATTGAAGTCTTTCATTGTTATTGATCTGAAATCGGTGGGTTCTGGCTGAGGTGGATTGAGTTCATCTGAAAATACTTCTCTCCTGATGACCAACAAGAAAAATAAATTCATCATGGTGTGCACAAAAATTTTTTGGTGCAGCATATGATATATTTTATCATTCATTTCTTTTTTAAACCTAGTCATGGAAATGCATATGTATTGCTTTCTGGCTTTTTGAAGAAATAAAATGAAACAGTAAGACAATCATACCCAACTTTTTCCAAAAGCATAAGTTTCTGTAATTCTTCCTTTTTACCTGAAATTAATTAATTGACCCAATTTACTAGAGAACATATAATTAAGAATTATATCAATAATGAATATAGTAAAGAGTGTGTCCGGCCTTGATTAATGGAATCAACTGCATGTGAAAGAAAAATAATCCATGCTTCATATATTAGTGACATTTAAACTCATGCCTCAACTTACTAGAACCAATTTTAAAGTAAAATTTTGTATTTCCCCAAAATCCACATCTTGAATAGCTTGGATATGGGTTGTGTGAGTAAATGAAAGTTTTTAAAACATTTTCTTTGAGATGTATTTTAACCTTAGTTTTTTAAATAAATTCTTCATTGTTCATAATTTACCTGTATGTCAGCAGAACAACTCAGATGACTTTTTTGTGAGTTGCAACTTTCTCACATAGGCACTCCCCAGCTTAATTGTAGTTTTTAGTATAGAAGATATACATACATTTTTTAACAATTAAGATTGGCAGTGCCTATGCTTTCTCAGATTGTGGAAAAATCTCATTACCTACTAGCCTCACACCACATGGCTCTGGTTTTTTGTAGGACTGACGAACTGTAGTAACATTATCAACCTTGGAATCAAATTCTGTCGTAAGAATTCCTGCATGTCCATCTCTAAAGATCTGTGCACTACTTGTTATTTTTTCATCTTTATCTATTTTATCAAGGTCTGCAACTTGTCGCTGTAACAAAACAAAACAATACCAGGTAAAATGAAAATATGACTTTAAAGATCTGCAATGAAAAATAAGGCCAACAGAGTATAGCATATACATTGTACAAGTAGAACATTCTCTTTTTTTAAAGACATTTCTGTGAGCAGAGGTACCTGTAAGTGTACTTTACACAAGTGTATAATAATTACTTTAATGTGCAACTCTTTGTTATCTTGTTCCAAGATAGTATAGAAGATAAATTTCATTTCTTACAAACTGGTCTTTATATAATGAAGAGAGGAAAGTTTTCTTTCACTTCCAAAAATTTCACCACGCTATCCAATAATCAATTTTTTTATGGATTGTAGCAATTAATGAAGATCACACAGTATTACATTAAATACGAGATTAAAAAAAAATCCAAAACCTACATTTAGAGAAAAAACTCTTGAAAGATAAAAGAAAATTTTAGAAAAATATACTGTAAAATCAGATATTTTCGTGGGGTCAAATTTTCGTGGTTTGAGGAAAATCTTTTAGTTTGTGGGGATTTGTTTTCGTGGATCAAGAATTAATGAGCTCTTATGTATGTAATATTTTACATTTCGTGGTGGATATAAATTCATGGATCTCGTCATACCTCAAGCAAGGAAAATTAAACCCCCACGAAAATTTGTGATTTCACAGTATATTTTTAAAAAAAAATTTTGTGCACTTCAGTCCACAGCTTATATATTGTTATTTTTTCCTCTACTGAAGCAGCTAAAAATGCATATATTTTCATTATTATAATGGTGATGTCCTCTATTACAATATATATGTAAGTGTATACGTCTACCTGTACATATTTACATATATATAAAGATTTGTCTGTAAATAATCTTTTTGTTCACCCCTGTACTTTAGGTCTTTCCCTTCTCTATGTTTGACCACAGGGGCTTGTCACGAAATATTTACCTTCTTTTAATATAGTTACCCCTACTATAAAAATACATATTTTATAGTAGGGGTAACTATATTAAAAGAAGATAAATATTTCGTGACAAGCTCCTGTGGTTTGACCACAGGGGCTTGTCACGAAATATTTATCTTCTTTTAATAAAGTTACCCCTACTATAAAAATACACAAGGGAGGAATCTAAAAATAGGAAATTCGCTACCACAAATTTTGACCGGACTTTCTATCTTGTTTCTGGGCGACTTTCGTTGCGGACCAACTAGGAGTGAGTGGAGTATAGATTCAATTTTAATATTCTTCAGTCAAATTCTAATCAACGCGTACCGTTAGTCATATAACTAACCTCTTTTCTCGATATTTGGATCTGGCGACAGTTCTTTCCATATGCGTCAACTGAAAGCAGCTCTCTGATTGGTTGCTTTCTGTAGATAACTCGTACACAAAATATAAACTGTAAGGATTGACATGCTTAGTGAAGGATATTTAACATGTTTATATAAATAAATATAACCAAATATAGTAAAATACGTGCAATGAAACCACAGCTGTATTGTTCAATGCCATCATGACAGTTTGATTTTCCCTCCGTTTTGGTGCACTAAATTAAAGAGCTACTTTGTGTACGAGTTATTTACAGAAAGCAACCAATCAGAGCCCTGCATTCAATTTACGCCGGAAATTCATATGGAAAGAACTGTCGCCAGATCCAAATATCGAGAAAAGAGGTTAGTTATATGACTAACGGTACGCGTTGATTAGAATTTGACTGAAGAATATTAAAATTGAATCTATACTCCACTCACTCCTACTTGGTCCGCCACAAAAGTCGCCCAGAAACAAGACAGAAAGTCCGGTCAAAATTTGTGGTAGCGAATTTCCTATTTTTAGATTCCTCCCTTGTGTATTTTTATAGTAGGGGTAACTTTATTAAAAGAAGATAAATATTTCGTGACAAGCCCCTGTGGTTTGACAGCTATTTGACACTGAAACATCTCATATCTTAATCTCATCAGAGAAATATCGATATTTTAAATATAAACGTACCTCTTCTACCCAATTTTCCAGTAAACATTTTCCATCTGAGTTATTGAATCGAATTTCATTTCTTCCCTGATTTAACAAACTCATTTTGTATGTTTTCTGTGAGTAGAAATGTTGGCGGAAGTATTGCTAACCATGGAGATTCCAAACATTGAAGAGTTCTAATCAAGAAAGATAACTCAAATTTTCAGTAACATTTTTTTCTATTAATGAAATTCACATTTCTTCTTTTGGGCTTTGAAATTTCAATGTTTTCTTTAGAAAATATGAGTATTTTTATTTTTGTTTCCTTCTAAACATTGTATTTTGTGAATATGTGTATTTTTATAAATTATACGATCGGGTTCGATCTTCATGAAATATTGAACACCCAAAACAGTGAATGAGGTGGGACACGAGACATCTTCAATCTTTCATTTAAGCAGCCTGATTAGTGATTATGGCAGCCAGAATCTCAGAAACTGATGTAATCATCGATCTTCAAGGAGAGGAAGCACCCCAATGTGCACATGGTGTGTGTAGATGTACATGCATTTTCTTTATCTTGTCATATCCTTGTATTAGTTAGAATAATCTAACTGTGTCTCGGTACAAGCCCTCACCACAGTTAGAATACGTCCCATATACTTGCAATGTAGCAGATCGGAGCGGATCCGCTCCGAAACGATTTTGAAGAATATAAAATGATTTGCACTGGGAATAACTACCAAAATAATTAAAACAAACCTTTTTGAGATTGCTTATGCCTTTTATCCCAAAAAATAATCCATCTAAAGACGAAAATCCAATTAATTTTCTCAACGTTTTTCTCTCGATTCAAATTACCTCCATGTTTACATTCGGAACTCTCTAGATTGTTCCTAGTAAATGCACTATGCGAGTTATCGCCCGTGTTTCTTTCTGCTACATTACGAATACACAGAACGAATTCTGTCGTTAAACCGGGTCCGTAGGACAATATCATTTTAACGATAGAACATTCTATCTAATCCTTGGATATATCATGTGTATATTATAAAATTTTAACAAAAGCCCATGAAGCATGCAGGTCGGTTGTATGTTCGTTCATCCTAAGAATTGTTCGCACAGGGTCCGTTCGCCCATATGATATAGAATAAGGATTTAATGAATTTCTTTCCTTAACTTTTTGTAAAAAAAAAAATCAAAGGGAGAGATTCTTCAAAGGTAAAACCTTCATCATCCGCTGTTCAGCTTCACTAATGGACCTATTGACGTCTCAGTCCTTTAACTGTTTTCAAAGCATACAGCAATTCGTAATAACACGGATCCGATGTATCCCCTAATTAACATTGATATTAATCATATTAATCATCTAATTAACTATAATTCAAACATTATGGCCTTCAAAAAAATTAAGACATCAAATTAAAAAATAATAAGACTAAAAAAAAATCCCAAGTTCGTAAAGAAATTAATACTTAATTCATATAATTACTATATACTAGAATATACAAGTATTGGGTGAACCAGGTATAGGGCGAACAAGATATTGGGCGAACAATATTTCTGGGGAACGGACTCTGCTCGAACAGACTCCTGCGAACAGGTAGATCGGGTGAACAAACCCGATACCAAGCAGGTCCTGCACTTTCTTTTCTCTATTGAGAAGTTGATGGCTCGTTTTAAAACGCCCGCCCCCTCTGTCATTTTCTCTATGTAAGGTCTAACAAGGGGTAGTTTTTAAAAAGATCCTACTCCTTCAACTTTTCATTTCTGAACAGAGAATAATCAAACACTATGGGTTTTAAAAAATTCAACTTGAAAAAGGTCCTTGATGCACTTTTGCCAGATTCTTTTCTTAGAATGTGGGTATGTATTAGATGATAATTTTGAAAAAGTGTCTTTTTTTTATTTTAAACTAATACATATACTTTGGTATGGCATTATTGGTTTTAATTTAGATACACATGTAATGTTTTTTTTAGGTCCAGCTCTTATGTTTGTTCGATACAGTGGTTCTAATGGGGGCAGGAGATTCTTTGCTTGTTCAGCATTCAGGGACAGAAAAGTTTGTGGTTTCTTCAAGTGGTGTGATGAGAAAACCACAAAGGAAAAGAAAGAAATGGAAAAAATGAGACATAAATCTGAAGATTTAATGTATACACACAAACAGTATAGGAAAAGGTATTTGTCTGTGGTATCATATGTCAACTTTCCCTCGTATTTTATTCACTGAATAAAACAAAAACAAAAATATACTGCATATATTCAGGACGCACCAATATTTTTTTTATATAATCACTTGCCTGTGCATATTTTTTTTTCCATCAGGTGTCTGACAAAATAGGTTTGGCCTCAATTATACTAGGATTTTTCAAAAAAAAAATAATTCATAATTTAATTAAGATATGTAATTATTCTATAATTTGTTTTTATCCTAGGTTTTTAAGCTTTAAAAAGCTACCTCAGAAGGAGAGAGTTTTGTGCCGGACATGTGGATTGTTTTTGCTGCCAGGTGAGGTGAAGGATCATACTAAACATGACATTCTGAGCAACATCAGCAATGCCATGTTAAAAGTACCATCAAAGCTTTTCCTTCCCCTCGACAATAACAAAACTTACGCTGTGAGTATTTCTTATCACATTGGTTTGTCCATTTTTATATGTATAAATGCTTTTTATATTGTTTGTAAAATTTACTCTGAAGTACATGTAATCAAGAAGTAAGAAGGAAAAAGAAATAAATCTTCTGAGGATAAGAATGTCTCCTTACAACAAACTGCTAAATTGAAGGGGTTGCTTTATCATACCCATAATTGTGTGTGTCTCAGGAAAAAATATGGGGCAATTAATTAAAGATTTCATGGTTGTTTCCTCTTTTTCAGCAATATTTGTTTTCTGAGAAGACAGTGAAGTTTGTCCTGGAGCAATTAAAGAGCCTAAATAAAACACATGTAATTTGTTTAGGAGCACCTAGGTATGTAAAGACAAGTATGCATTTATCATAGGAATTAAATTTGATATGATAGACTAGTAGAAATTTCAGGAGTTCAAAGTATTTTGATATTCTTACACTTCACTGAATTAAAATGATTCCAGTATTAACATTAATGAGAATGAGAGAAAAAGGAAACATGTCTTCTGAGAGAAGTCTTTCATTTCTATCAACATTAACTGATAAAAGGAGAGAGAGATGTACAAATGTATATACGAGGGTTGATCCAAAAGTTCGTGGAATTTCTTTCTAAAATTTTATCGCGATTTGATGAAAGCAAACAACAGGCATATCTGTAATAAAGAGTCATAATGCAACAATATTGGAAAATTTTCTAATCACTAATAAGGTCACACAAGCTTTCTGAAAATGGATAGTTGTGAAACCCTGGGGAGACTTCGACGTTAGGTCAAGTAAGGTATGTCACGTCATGTTATAGAAGCATTTCACCCTAATGTCAAATCAGAATACGTATTTCTACAAAATTGTATGCAGCTCTTTAATTTCTCCATTTGTTTTCTCAAGAAAAGCCTGGGTATCCTCTCTCGCACCAACTTATTTTCATTTTTCACTTATATTTCAAAATATTTTCGATCTTTCCATATGATGTTCCAATTTTAGTAGCAATGTCAAGAACAGTATATCAGCCGACAACGTCCATTAACGCTTTTAATTCGCCTAGGGGATAAAAACTTAAAACAGAGCCTCCAATAACGGCATCACCTTAAATCAACGTCCACGAAAGTTCTATTTTTCTTAAATTTCATATGCCACTAGAAAACCAGTAACTAAATGCATTTTTCCCCAGTCTATGTCAATAATACACGCTTTGAAGATAGAGTGATACCGGGATTTTCACAAATCTTATGACGAGACCGAAATTGGATGTTGTCTAACAACTTAAAGATGAACAGTGAATAATTAACTAATAACTAAATATCCAGTAAAATCAGTAAAACTGTCACACAAAGATTTATAAAAGATCAAGCAATCGTAATAATGTCATAATTTTCGTTTTATGTACCACACAGTGCGGTTTTGTTATCATTTCACATATAAAGAATTAAAATGATAATAAACGCTTTAATGTCTCCCCCGCATTTCCAAGCAACCGTTTCTATGGCAACTGCTATACAGTTACAGTCATAAATATTTAAAATGTTTTTTTATTTAAAAAATTCAACAAGTGTCTTTATTCTCAGTTGTAAATTTCAACTAATTTCGCTTACAAAGTTACAAATAAATAAAATATGAAAAAATTCCACGAACTTTTGGATCAACCCTTGTACATATACATGTATCCAAGCAACATGGAGTAAACTAGTACTTTACCTGTGTAGTGAAATTTTTATTAATTTATCAAGAAATGAAGAACATATCCATTATTAAAATATATCTCTGGAAACATTTTACTATTATATTTTGCACAGAATTCATGAAGCAATAATGAATGAAAAGAATGAAACACTGACAAGTTTTCTTTTGGATTTGGATTCAAGATATGTAAGTCAATTTATATCACAAAATATTATAATTTCTTTTATGAATATGCAAATTCATGATTGTTCAAAAAGCATAAAATTCTGAACTTTAATTTTAGATGCAATTGTATGGGCCTAATCACTATGCTAGGTACAACATGTTTAACCACTATTTCTTTGATGGGGAGAAATCGGCAGCTTCATTAACCACGTTTTTGGACAGTTGTTCCCATGACCAGGTTGCCATGGTATTTGATCCACCATTTGGTGGGATGGTGGAGGCTTTGGCAGCTTCTTTAAGGAAATTGTCAAACCTTTGGAGGATAACATCACAAGGTTTACAGAAATGTATTTTTAGGTCATCTGAGTAAACTCAGGTGACCTTTTGCTGTCTACCGTATAAGTGGAAATTTTAGCGAGATGCAAATTTAGTGATTTGTCCTTAAAAACTGGTAATTTATTTTTAGCGAGATGTTATTTTAGTGATTTTAAAATGCACATTAATATTACAAATAAAAATGCAATTAATTTTTAAAGATATTCAATTTTAGCAATCTTGGCACCCTTGCTAATAATGCCAAAATTAAATCCTCGCTAAAAATTCTACTTATATGGTGTTTTCTCCCATCACTGTGTGTTGTCTGTTAACATTTGAACATTTTCAGCTTCTTCTCTGCAACCACTTGTGAATTTCATGATCCCTGCCCCCCTGGGGCCTGAGGGATGTGGCCAAAACCAATAAAATTAATGCAATCTTTAAAATTTGTTCTTTACTCCTTAATGTCAATCAGTCAAACTGTTGGCATGATTGTAATCAGCATTGAGTCCTCTACCAAAATTGTGAAATCCATGGCCCCAGGGGCAGGGGTTCTAGTGCTAGGGCGGGGCTAAACAGATTATGTAGTGGAAATGCATTATTTTCTTGATATTCTACTTCTCTACTGCTGGGAATTAAATAAACTAACCAAGTACATAGTTATGTTGAAAAAGGCTGCCTCTTCCATAAGTAGGAATTTCATGGCTGCAGGGTCAGCTTTTCTGGTGTTAGGGTGGGGCTCTATTGATTATATATTGAAAATGCATGAATTCTTTGAAAATCTTTCCCTTTGCTCCTGGGTATAAAGCTAATGAATGGAGTACATATTTATGATGAAGAAAGGTGCCTCTCTCAAAATGGTTACTTTAAGGGTCCCCGGATCAGACGTGCCTGGGGGTGGGATGGGGTGGGTTGTTACTTAGTCTGAAAATAGATTAATGCTTTGAAATGTGCTCTTTGGTATTAATCAACCATTTGTGATGAAATAAAATTTATGATAAAATTTCCAAAAAATTTATGATAAAATTTTGAAATATGTAGGGTAAGGAAACACAACTGGTTATAAAGTGGAATGCATTTTCTCTTTGTTACTCTGCCAAGTGTATAGTTATGATCTTTCAAAATTGTGAATTTCATGGCCTCTGGTTTAAAACACGAACCAAATTGAATGGTTGGAAAGTTGTTACATGATACTCAGGTGATCTATAAGGCCCATGGGTCTCTCGTTTTTGATATCCCATTGCTGTGACATCACAATGGGTTTTGCATGAGAGTGATAAAATGAAATAAAGTGATTCCTATATTAAAACTGTGTAAACAACATTGATTGTATAAAACATGGGATAAAAAGAATCTCCTACGATTTGTAGAAGATTTTTATCCATCTTTGTTTTTATCCCCTCGCCAAGGCTCATGGATTAAAAAAAAAACAATTGTTGGATAAAAATCATATCCAACTATCATGAAAAATCCTATATGCAGCCTCTCTGTACATATAAATTTTCTGATGTCTGAATTTTTTCAGCCCCCGACGATGCCTCGCTACATATTTTATGGTTCTTTCCTTACTTTATGGAGAAGAGGATAATTGATTCATTTGAAGATTTCCAAATGCTAGATTACAAGGTAGGTAAACTATGTAAATTACCTATTAATGTTTCATTCAAATGAAAAAGGAATGGATTGCAGTTTTCAAATGAATTAATATCGTAGTAGAAAACAAAAAATGAAAATGATTCAATAATAACGTAATTGGTTTATTATTTCATTTCATCTGATCTATCACTTTACTGTTTTTAGGTGGATTATGACAACCATCAGCTGTTCCAGGGTGATGTGAAGAAGTATGGTTCCCCAGTTAGGATATTTACTAATGTTCCCCCTCATAAGATCCCCCTCCCAGCAGAAGAGGGGTACAGGTAGTGTGTCATGAGTTTTTTTATATTCATCAGATTACATATATATAAACTACATTTTCATCTTTCGACCATATACTTTTCTGACATTTGATAAATCATATGAAAATCTTTTTTATGTTTTTAGGTTTTGTAAAGTATGTAATAGGTATTCTTCTAAGGAAAATGTTCACTGTGATGTCTGTGACATTTGCCCCTCAAAAGTAAGTCTGTACGAATTATCTGTAAGCCATTCAGTATATGTCATTCTACCTACAGGTACAATTTTATTCGTGTATAATTGTTATATCCTCTTTGGAGAGCATATTGCTATGCTGCTGTCTGTCAGTCAGTCTGTCGGTCCATCATCAGTTTCCATTCATTTCTTTGCAGAGGTTGCACAAACTGAAATAAAATTTGGTAAACAGATTTATCATAAGAATGTCTAGGTCAAGTTTTGTGATTGAGCAATGTTTGACAGAGTTATGCCCCATGGACTTAGAAAAATTCCAATTACCTGCAGTTTCTGTTCATTTTCTTTGCAGAGCCTGAGGTTGCACATACTAAAATCAAATTTGAAATAAAGATTTATCATAAGAATATCTAAGTCAAGTTCTGTTTGGGGTATGATCGAGAAATTTTTAACAGAAGTATGTCCCCTGGACTTAGGGTAATGCTCAAGGGAAGGGAGGGGGGGCATAAGTGTTTTCACAAATATCTCTTTTGTTTTTCTTTAAATCTATGTCATTCCTCCTACACTGAATATTCAGGTGTACATTTTTCCAAGAATGTTAAAATGTCTACAGAAGTTTTTATATTTTTGAAGGATGGCAGGACATACAAACATTGTTTTCAGTGTGAACGGTGTGTGAAGCCCAACAAAGAACATTGCAGTGTTTGTAAATCATGTCAGTTAAAAGATCACAACTGTGGGAAACCTAGCCAAGGTAAAAATAATTTTTAGTGTACTTATGAATTCAGAAGGAAATGTAGATACAGATTCTCTTTTCTGAATCTTGAGTCATAGAAGGCCATGACAAAATAATTTTCTCCCTTTTTACTTCAAAGCTCTAGAAAGGTTCCATATTTAACAGTTCCCTTTCAAAAGGTATCATTCTTAAGGATCTAAAAAATATAGAAAACTTTTTGATTGTTTGATTGATTGATTTTTTTTATATGTAGGATGCCATATTTGTGGAGCTTTGGGTCACAAGAGGAGAAATTGTCCAAAGACAGGAACTCAATCACCAGCCGAAAGGTTCAAAGTTAAATTACACTTCAAATTTTACAGTTCAATATTATATACATGTATACCACAGGAATTCCCAAACATTTAAATCTTATTTTAAAGAAGATTTTAATTGAAAAGAAATTCTATTTCACAATAGCAATGGTTTAATGTGAGATACTAGTAATGTTCTATATGTTTGGCAATTGATCTTTTTATTTTTTAAGGAAGAAGAAATGGTCTGAAGATGGAGCAAGAAAAAAAATGAAATATACAAAAATTTAAAATAAAACTTGGTATCTATCAAATTCTTCTTTGTGTTTAACAGGCAATTATTTTGTATGAAAATAGAGTTCTGACTCAATATTACAGCTTAAGACACAAAAAGAATTTCAAAGTCAGTTGTTAAAAATACTATATGTACGCAATATACATGTATAACATTATCATAGTTAAGCTTGGCTATTTCCAGTGAAACTTTATAGAACCGAATATTTCATCAACCTTATCAATATATAGGGCTTATGTAAAGAATAACGAATAACCTGTCAACAGGATATACTCTCAATGAAGGCACCTGATCCCTCTTCTGAAATTTCCAAGGGTCTGCGCTTTTTGCCCTGTCCAGAAAGCCCTTTGATTGCATGGGTTTTTTTGCTAAGTTGGAATAAATTGTTTGTGCAGTGCCATTATCGATAAGTGATGTGCAGTCAACTTTATGTATGTTCTTCACAAAATCGGAATAGTCCATTGTAAGAAATAACTACAATCATACATGTATTTGGGGAAAATTGATACCTCAGTATCAAGGTAGTAAGTTTTTTTTTTTTTCTTTTCAAAAAGTCAAACAGTTCAGAAATGTGGTGCCAAAGGAAAGCTCTTAATTAGGGCCCTGCAGGGATTTGCGGGTGCCCTATAGTAATCACTCTGTCCGTCCGTCTGTCTAGCTGTCTAGCTGTCCGTCTGTCACTCTTCCGTCCACAAACTTTCTGTTTTTTTCTAATAACTTTTTTTATGGATGCCCAATCAAGTTCAAATTTGGTATGGTAGTTCAGTAGGCAGAAATACATATTTTGCTGCTAAGTTTGGTTCTCTATGTCTTCTGGTTTGGAGCTGGGGTGGTGGGGTAGATTCCTTAACTATGCATAAGAATGAATGGACAACTTTTTTATGGTTGCCCAATCAAGTACAAATTTGGTATGGTAGTTCAGTAGGCAGAAACACATATTTTGATGCTAAGTTTGGTTCTCTATGTCCCCTGGTTTGGAGCTGGGGTGGTGGGGTAGATTCCTTAACTTTATATACAAAAGCATTGGCAAAGAGAGATAACTGCTGAAGATGTTCCCATTGTAAACTGAATGCTGCTATGAGTCCCTTGGGATTAATTAGCCTTCCTCCTGAAGAAAATCCAGAGCATTATCTTTATCTGTCAAATTGAGATGAATTACCACCTCTTTCTGCAAATGAAGTTTGTTTTGAATTTAAGTCAATTTGGAATGCTATGAACACTCTGAAATGTGGATTTAAATATAAATTTTTATAATTTATTTTTGTTTAATAGTTATTAAAACATTTTTGTGACGTCACCTTTTGTTAAACCTGGTTCAATAAATTTGTTATTGTCCTGCACCCCGTCCAATAAGTTACCTGTAGGTGTCCAATAAGATTCAACTTATTGGACAGGTACAGGTAACATTCAAATGAGAACAAAGGGCGAGGCAAATAAATAAACAGCACTTAAAAGACAATGACAAATCAAACAATTTAATAATGTAGGAAATTAGTAGCATTAAATGTTAACATTTCACAAGAAAATGTCACAAATAATCCACAGTGAATTGAATGTCTCACATTCATTATTGAAGACTTATCCGTGGCTCCGATCATAAATTTCCTATATTTCCTAAATTCAGCGTTCATTAAATGCTATATACACCGTATTAGATTCATTTCACAATGATCGATCCATGGAACATATATAGAATCCAAGGGACACAAAAGATGAATGAGAAGCATACACACAACCTTGGGCTTTTTTGCTTATCTAAATATCCACTTTTTCTGCATTTAGCACAAAATTTCGCTCATGAAATTCCAACGGAATCTGTAGTAATTTCGATCGGTATTCTATGAACATTTTTCCACCTAGGCCCGCGTTGTTTTAGCAAGTGTCTGTCGCTGTTTTAAGGGATGGCTGGAGTAAAATCCTTCCCAGTTCAAAACCTGCACACAAAAGAGTAACCGTTGCATTAAAACAAAAATCATCAGAAATCCCATTTAAATAGAAAATGCTTATACAGTGGTTGGAGTAAAGTCCTTCAAATCTTATTGTTTTACAAAAATTACCTGTTAACAGAAACTGTTTCTTGCAAATTCCGATACATAAGAATATATATATGGTAGAAAACTTGAACTGAGGCATCTTGGTGTAATCGATAAATGGCATCGTCAAAACTGCCGATTCTGAAGGTCTTTTTTCAAAATTAAGATGTACGTCGTCATCCGTGGTGGTTGCGTTATTAAATGAATAAATTGTAAAGAATTTTGTTGAACTGACTTTTAAGCATGCGTAGTATGGTTAAAAAAATGTCGCAATGCGGATAAATAAGACTAAACAAAGTTAATGTTCATATTTATTGATATAAAACACCTCTCGATGATTCCTACTATTTATAAAGAGAGAAGGAAAACCAAAACTGGTTTTCTTTGGCCTTACTTGATGAACAGTGCCAGGTAGCCATCCAAGCAGAACGAGACCTTACCTGTGACTGTCCAATAAGTTAACAATGGAAGTGTTCGACAGTGGAGAAATGTTTTAAGTAAGTTATAAGCCTCAAACTGACCATTATGTCAGATATTAGACTCACCTCGGCACTAACGCGCCTCGGGTCGTCTAATATCTGACATAATGGACAGTTTTCGGCTTATAACCATTACTGATTTCATTGAATTCTAATAACAAGAAATAGATGAAAGAAGATTTTTTTTATTTACTTTTTTCACTTTATGTTAATTCAAGAATATTATTAATTTTTAGGATAGTTGTATAAAAACCCCATTCTATCATTAATAATGAAAAAGTTCTTATTGTAACTTTGGAAGAAAATGATGAGAGAGGTACAATTAATCCCTTGGGATTAATTATCTAGCCTGCTGCAGAAAATTTAGTAGGCTTTTCTTTATCTGTCACTTTAAGATTAATGAAAACCTTTGTGTGCAACTGCTGTTTGTTTTAAGGTCAAGCCTTCATGATATTTGCATTCATTGAAGGCTGGCATTTTATAAAACACAAGCTTTATAATTGTTTAAATATACATTCAATGTTAAGTTGTTCTTTACTGCCTAATGTAAATACAAGGATATTATTTTCAGGCTTTTAAATATTCAGGAATTATCTTGAAATTTTAATAATACAGTTGCTGTTGCTTATTCTTCGTACATTTTTTAATCATTCCGTAAGCTGCATCCTATTAATTCTACTCCATGGCGGGGCCCTTGCTGACTGGTCAGTTTTCTAGTTGCTGTAAGAAATAAATGTAATACTGTAGACGTACTTTTTTCCACGGGGTCGTTATTTCACATAATCTTTATTTCTGTTTAAACGGTGGGTAGAAAATTACGCGGATTTCTTAGACTCTCACTATAATCTTTACAAGTATTTTGAGTTCAATGGGACAAATTTCCGCGGAAAATGTTTGACGGCGTACGTAGCATAAATTAATACCACGCGGAAAAAAGTACTTCTACAGTATGTGAAAGCCCAGCATACACCAACCATAATATAGCCATGCAAGGTTTGAGTTTTACAAAAGACCATCACAAGATTCCAAGATCAAGGTTTTAAGGTCAAGACTGTTGGTACCAATGGAAGGATAATAAGGGTACATGAGTCAGAGTACAAAAAATTTCAAAGTTTACAGGCAAGGTTAGTTTTTCAAATGCAGGTCATACTAAAAGTTCAAGGTCATGAGGAACGAAATGTGTAACCCCAAAAAGTCTTGTCCCAAGGAACCAACATGGCAACAACTATTTAAAAATTTTGTTTAATATTTTTCAGATTTAGGTCAAGGTCAAAAGTTCAAATAAATTGGTTTTAAATGAAAGCTACTGTGGAACACCGATCACTTTGAACAATTCATTTACATGTACCATGAAACAAAGTCCTAGAACCAACCGTTCAAAAGTTATGCCCATGTTAGAAAAAATGAAAGTTATGCAAAACCACGATTAAACTCTAAAGTCAAGAGATAAAAAATGTAGGTATATATATGTAATACCCAAAGAAAGATTACACTTCTCAAATAGGAAATCGCTTGTATCAGGAAGAGTGTGAATTGCCTTTTTGGCCATTTTTTCAATGTGCGTTAAAATTGGGACCAAATCAACGCTTTTTGAACAAATAAAATGTCTTTCCAAAGTGTGTTGATATCGACTATATTAACGCACTTTGAAAAAATGTGTATGGCTTGGTGAATATGATTGAAAATCTTAGGTATGATAAATAATTGAACCTGTTGGATAACTTTTTGGTGATAAGGTCATTTCAAGATGTGAATGTGGGCAATTTTTATTTTTCCATACTTTGAAAATTCATTCTCTCTTGAATGTTTTACTGTATACTTAATTTTTTTTCCAGTTTGCATGCATTTAATGAAAACTAAAATTTATTGAAATTTTCAACGTCACACTAGTTATGCAAATACATATATCTGGGTGTAACATAGGCATCAGTACCGGGGGGGGGGGGGGGGGGTAGACACACAAATGCTTTGTTAAGATATACATAATATAGGAATTAAAAACGGGGGCTTACCTTGGAGGGGGGTGAGAGGTTTCCACTTTCAATTTGCTAGCTAAGTAAAAAGGAGTTGGTCCGAGAGACATTCTATATAATTATAATCATCTTCTCCTTGTTCTTGAGGAGGGTTAATCAATACATGTAAATTAAAACATTTTTCGAAAGATATATAGAGGATATCTATATTGTGTGATTTGATATTGGCTTTATCCAACAAGTTGAAATGGTGTATATATTCGCGAGGCTTGCCGAGCGAATATACACCATTTCAACGAGTTGGATAAAGCCAATTTCAAATCACACAATTATAGATGTTCTATTTATCTCATACGACTTTCGTTTTAACAAAACTTTGAGACTTCCCCTGCGAAACTACATGAATGACTGCCAAAATCAAATTGATGACGTATAACTTGATGACGTAGCACCGTTGATGTTTACATGCGGCGAGAGAAAGTAGATCGAGTTCAAAATTTAGCTATCTCACACCCTATTAA